CGGGAGCCGCAGACAGGCACCGGCCCCGTAAAAGCTGTTGCAACCTCGGGATCAGTAGTACTCAGGAGAATCAGGTCCTCCATCTCGCTCTGCGTCCGGTGGTTCTCCAGCTTCACCAGCATTGGGGCCAGAAAGGTCCAGAGAATGTTGCCCACCTCTTGGGCACAGACAACAAGCACCACAAGCGCACAGCATAAGTCTTGAATGTTGAGGAATTCTCAATTAAGGCTGCCCACCTTCATGACCAAGCTGAGGATCAAAGACGAGAACTTTGCGAAAGTCGAGTCCTGCGCTTTCGGGCCTTCACGCCCCTCTCGTAGTTTGCAGGGGTCAGGAGTCAATTCAGAAGACTTCGGGACCTAGCGGCGGTTTATGGGGGTCCGCTGAGTTTGGGGTTGGCGCTGCAGAATCCTCGGGTGCACTGTACTGCCTCACCAGAATCAGAGCAACCACCCCGATGTAGAGGAACATATAGGCAATAGTGGCCAAGTTTACGACAATGGTGCAAACCTCGCGTGCCCCCTTCTCATCCCAGTTGGGATTGTTCTGCACGTACTTGGATTTCTCCTTCACCTGAGTGTCTGGAATCTGGAATCAGGAGCCCGGGTTGTGCCAGACTTAGTCGGTTTTGTTCGCATATCCTGACATCCGGCATAAGTAGCACCTATGTACGGGACTTCATTGATACTCCAAGGCTGCGGCATTCCAAAGCTGCTGCACCCGCGAAACATGGCGGGAGAACATCTGCGAGATACAAGCGGCCCAGATCGATATGAGGCAGGCCAGGGCGGTCTTGACGGAATCGATGCTGCTCGGAGGCATGAACCCCCTGATTAAAAAGAAGACCAGCCCGACAACAGACAGCGGCAAGAAGGAGTAGATCAGGTAGGCGGCGTACTTGAAGTAAAAGGTGATCTCTTCCCCAAAATATGCTCTAAGAGGATGTATCAGATTCGAGAAGAACGGGTTGAACCAGTTCCTGATGTGCAGGCCTGTGTCGTGCAGCTCTCGGATTTGCGAGGCTACCGGGCAGGGAAAGGTACACTTGATGATTCCCTGGCTCTCCATCTCGTCCATCTGCACCCAAAGGTTGAACCAATGCCGCAGTATCCGAATGGCATCCATCTGTGTGAAGTCCTCTCGCTTGCACCCAGACCCACGCGAAACCCATCCCTGCTCCAAAACCCCCAAATCAATTGAACCCGCAGGGAAGAAACTTGAAGGACTCAAACCCAGACCTCGAAGAGGTGCTTGCGCCGCCGGTCGTAAGGAGCGTGCGCCACGACCTGAGCTGCTTGACCGAGACAGCAGTTAGCAGCGAGACAGGTAAGGTTAACCTTAGATAGGGGCCTTAATAATGAGAATAGGGTGTTGGGGCCTATTATACTAGAATTATAAGGAACTCCCAAGAGAATAGTACTTGTTTGCACTTGACCATGCGGCCCCTTACTACGTATCCTTGAACCCGAAGTACCTTCAACCCCAAAAGCCGATATCGGGTACTTAGTCATTGGCCCAGGGTTCTGGGTTATATGAAACTATGACTATGTCGGGATCAGACGGGGCTACTGTAAAGCCCTAAACCCTGAAGCCTCTATCACTTCTGATTCTTCCTGCTCAGGGACCACACGTCCGTCGGCGTTTTCCAGAGGCTTCCTGCCGAGGTGGGGGCCGTGCTCCTCCACAGACTCATAGGCCTCCTTCCTGGGATTTGGATTTGGGGTTTAGAGTGTAGGATCCGGGGTTTAGGGCATAGGCTTGACCATTGAGGGTTCCGGGTCAAGACTCAGGGTTTAGGGTTGATTTGCAGCAGCTGAAGACTTAGGGTTCAGTAGCTGCGACAATTGCATTGCTGACGTCAACCGCCCTGCAAGACCGTGTCACTCCTAGCTCTGCAACTCAATTCTCATGTTGTTGCTGTGTTTCTTGCTGTTTGAACATGTTGGTACCACTGCAGCCTAGTGCGACTGTGACCACTGTCAAAACTGATCCTGCGACTGTCGCAACTGCTGCGACTTTACCGTTACCGTCATTATTCCGCAAAAGCATACTTAGCATGACTGCCAGAAGTGCTTCTGCTTGTACGATTACTATCACCGCTCCATGTACAACCAGTCTTGGCACTCAACAGAAATCGATCGTCATCATTAGTAGTATTGGTACTGTCGAACGCGCTCTTGACTGGAACAACACGGCTATGGGTCGGGGGTCAAGGTGGGGCGCTACAGTAGTTGCAAATAAGCCTTCTCTGAATGAATAATCGTTACGCTTCGATGTTGGGTTTCGGATTTAGCGTGTAAACTATGGACATGAACTTTCGAGTCAAGCCTCTTGAAGGGCATCTGGAACTTGAGGCTCTCGGCTAGATGCTCGATGGCCTCTCCCTTCAAGGGCAGGTACACCTTCACGAAGTCCTCATCGCCGTCGAAACCCTATACGAAAAACTGCCCCCAAGTGCCCTAAACAATTCTAATGCCCCCATGCCCCAACTTAACCCAAAACCAAGCCCCAAACGCTAAAGCCCTCAAGCCCCGAACTAAACCCCCAATGCCCTAAACCCAAACCCTCAACCCCCTACTGATCCACGAAATCCATAGAGTACCCTCAAGAAGTCCTCATCTTCGTCTATGCTGGGGAACTGGCTGGCCTCGATACCGCTGGCTTCCAGGATCTCGAGGAACCGTGCCCTGATATCCTGGGTTAGGGGTTTAGGAGTTTGGGCGTTTAGGGTCTAGGGTTTAGGGGTTTAGGGGTTTAGGGTTTAGGGGTTTAGGGGTTTAGGGTTTAGGGGTTTAGGGTTTAGGGGTTTAGGGTTTAGGGTTTAGGGTTTAGGGTTCCTTCAAGGAGTCCCGTAAGGGGTCGGGCTCCTTTAAGGGCTCCTTCTTCATTTAAGGGTTTAAGGTGAAGGGGTTTAATTTAAGTTACTGTAATAGGGACCTTTAGCACCTAATATGGTTTCGCTACTACGGCAACTTCACTTAACTACAATTCCTGAACAAGAACCCAGCGTCTTGCTGGTAGAGCTCCATGGAAATGGGCTCCTGACGGGTCGAGAGCTTGGGGTGCAGGTAACATAGGGGCCTTAATGATTAAAATAGGGTTTTGGGGTCCAATATACTATAATTATCAATAGGAACCCCCAAAATAGTATTAGTTAGTAGTTATGGAGGACAATATATTACAGGGTCTAAGTTTTCGAGGGGATCACCACTACTGTGCCGTAGTAAGCGCTCTGTGAGGGATCCGTGCAAAATCTCTCACTCTCGGCAGACTCCTCACCGACGTACTTCAACCGTTCCAGGGCATTGTGACTCAGAGGGTTGTCCGGATTGAGGAAGATTCGACGGGCCTTCTTCAGAGGCTCATCGACCATTTGATGGGGATCCACCGTGCCGCCCAAATGTCGGCTGCGCGGGAAGATCACGATTTTCGTACACCTGTTAGCATCCATCTGCAACAGTGGCGTGGGGCCGGGAAGCTTGTGGATGCCAGTATCATAATCGTTGACATCTCCATTTGGCAGCTGTTGATACGAACCGATCGCGAGCGCTCTGGGCGCGTCCCTCGACTGCACCATGGCTCTACATGGCAGGCATTGGCACAAACCGAAGCAGGGACCTCGCAGTAATTATTCGGAATTCAGTATGGTATACATCGTCTCGTGACTCCTACGATGCTGCTTTCCAGCGGAAGATATAGAGCAGGGACAGTTCCGAGAACTGGCGATTCTGGACAACTCTCTGGGAAAACGTGGCTTCGGCTCGCGCACTCACAGCAAGAGCCAGTGCTAACCCGGCCCCTCGCTCTCTGCGAGCTCCGCTCCCGACGCCCCACTTCATGTCATCGTGTTAAACCGGCTATACATGCGTAGACACACATGCAGACATGAGCATGCGCATCTGTATATAACATCTCCATCCGTACACATGCGTACAGAGCATATGCATATGTACAAACAAAGACAGATGGAACACACAGACAGACAGAAAGAAGACAGATGGGTAAAAAGTAGATTGACAGATGTGCATCGCCACGAGTGCGTTTTTGCCGGAAGCCATATGAAGCATACACATACAAGTAAATGTGAACATAAACATCTGCAAAACAAGGGTAGAAAGATAGAGGTAGGTAAGCAGATAGACAATGAAATAGCTAGATACATACATAGATAGATGGGCAGGTACATGAAAAGTAGGCAGGGTGGCAAACAGGCAGGTAGGTAAGTATGTACGTATGTAGGTACGTAGGTAGGCGCGTAGGTAAGTAGGAAGGTAGGAAGGTAAGCAGGCAGGCAGCTCGGCAGGCAGGTAAGTAGGTGAATGCATAGACAGATTTACATATATCCATATAAACACATAAACATACACATATGTACATATAAACATATCTGCATATCTACGTATATCTACATATATACATATAAACATATGTACACATGCACATATATGCATACGTACATATCTACATAGAAGCCTACATACGTACATACATACATACATACATACATACATATACACATACATGCATATACAATTATAAGTTATAAGTTATATACACATATTATACATGTATGCGTTTATACACGTATGTACATATACACAAAACATATACATATGTATGTACGGTATGGTATGGTATTGTATGGTATGGTATGCTATGTTGTGTTATGTTGTGTTTTCAAGGGCATGACGGGTCATGATATGTTATGCCCGCTACGTATGCTATGTATGCATGTATGGATGGATGGATTTGTGTATGTGTATATGTACGTAGGTAGGTATGTATGTATGCATGTGATATCTCATTCATTTAGTTTTACATGTACATTCATTTATCTATCTGTTTGTGTATACATCAACACATCTCTACAGATATCAACATGTCATGTCTATATCTCACAAAAGTATGCATCTATGTATGTATGTATGTATGTATGCATGCATGCGATGACGACAGCCACGTCCCGAAGACCCCTGCACAACTCGATTTGCAGGTTTCGCCTCGCCACAGAGCAGCGTTGCAGACCTGACATGGCCGCACACAAGATGCGGCGTTTCGGTATGGCAGTTTAAGGTTCAGGCTTTTAGTTTAGGGTTGGCGGAAGGGCCACTCATGAAGGGAATGGACTTCCGGCAGTGAAGTAGCAGTGATGAGCCACCTATGCCCACACCCCAGACCCCAAACGGAAATGTGAGTTTGAAGCCCGGAACCTTAACAACTCGACTTCCTAAGCCCTGAAGTAATCCAAACTCCTAAATTGCCTTAGCTGCAAGTTGGTGGAACCACTGCACTCGAGTGAACCCTTACTCCGGTTTGCCTCCTACCAACCTCGCTTTCTGCCGGACTGCCTGCTTGCTGACCGACCCACCATCTGTCTGCTGGTCGATGTTACGTACACTCATTCATACTATCACGGGCACTTCACACGTACATACGTGTAAACTGGCGGCGCTGGCTCTACTACACTCTACAGTAGTATGCTAGAACAGTTCAGCCAGATTGAAGGACTCGATTTTCCGGGGTATTCCTGCGATGCTGCCGGGACGCAAGACATCCAACAGTCCAGATAGCTGCTCCTCAGCACTGGGAACGAGAGGTTTCCAGGCGTGAACTTGAAGTTCTCGAAGACGTCTGATATACAGTTCCCAAACCGAACCCCTGAGATCCAAAAGCAAGCGATGGTTGTAGAAGGCAACCTCGAGCCTAAAGATGAACACCATCGAACTTTCCAAGACCCAGGCCACCCAAAGGCTCTGAAAAAATGCAACTTGCCCTGTGGCTAAGGCTCGGACGTCGTCCGCCCCTACAGCCCCAAAAGCAGATAGCAGCCTCCAGTGTTGCTACAGTAGCTGTGTTTGGACGGCTTGTTTGGCAAAAGCATCCCTGTCAACGGAGCTAGTGCTCCGTGCAACATGCTCGCTTCGGGTGTATTGAGGAGGGGGTTTCCGCTTTGGGATTTACACGCAACTATCGGCCTGTGCCAATCGCTGGCATCATCCATGCCCTCGACCTGAGCACAAGGCTCCAGCACCAAAACACCTCGAGCCCTGCCGTGAGCCTGTCCTCTGTCATCCAGAAACCCTACGTAGCAGAAGCTTATGCGTACTTTATACATTATATGTATACATACATACATACATACATGCATGCATGCATACTTCCATCCGCAAATCCGCACGTCCACACATCTATGCATCTATAGCTCCTTTCATGCATCCACACATCTGAAGCTTATCTATTCATGTATACGTGCATGTGCCATGCTTTTACATGTACAGTACTTGTACGGACGCACATATGCATTCACATCTTCATACGCTTGCACATACCCATACACATATACATATACGTATCCATAATAATATGCACTTACATGCCTACACCTACAGCTGCGCCTACGCCGACAGCGACACCTACATCTTACACCCACACCTACTCACACCTTCATACTAGTACGAAAAGAAGTCTTCATAGGTTCATGTACATACACAAAAATCATATGCCTAAGTGGGCCCTACTCAACGCTCCACCATTCCAACGTGCCCTCAAAAAACACGCTAGTTCACCTTCGCAGAGCTTTCGTGGAGGCACATGATCTGGAATCCAATTACTCTAACATCCCTATCCCCAAACCTGCAAGCCTAAAAACCGTCACATGCCCAACACCGGATAAAGACCCAAAATCTATAGCCCTAGAATCTCCACATGCTGAACACATATCTCACATAAGCCCTAAAGCCCTAAAAACCAGCTATCATCTTTCAGACCGTAGACCCTGAACAATAAGTCCAGCTCTAACGGCCCTGAAGCTACAAACCTATAACCTCACCTGCCGAAGTCTGGTGTAGGGGCCTTAACAATTAGAATAGGGTTTTGGACCAGAACAGTATTGGTAACTATTTAGGCCCCTCGAGTGTAGAACCCCACCATAGATCCCTTGCAGAACCCTTTATATATATAAGGGGTCCCTTTAGAGGAACCCCCGAATTATTTAGGCCCCTGTAGTATGGCATCGTTCCAGGAGCGAGCCTCGAGGATGCCACCGCCTCGCAGCATGGCCTCAGAACACAGAGCTCTTCTGGTTTAGGCTTTAGGGGTGTTAGGGTGCTAGGGTCTCAGGTCGTAGGGGTTAGGTTGGGAGGTTTTGGATGGTTTAGGGGCTTTGGGGTTGGGGCTGCCGGAAATGGGTTGGTCAGCACGTGCGGCTGCATCTTCGGGGGCTCCCGTGAGCGGGTCTGCAGGCTGAGGGTTGAGGGCCTTTGGGACGTACTGTGGGAGCCTTACTCATTAGAATAGGGTCCCATTACATCAAAATGAAAAAATTAGGAACCCCAAAAGCAAATAGTATAGATAATACGTTAAGGCCCCTATACTAGGGGTGACGTCACTGCTTGCCGGTTCAGTGGTGGAAGCTCCTTCCAGCTAAGCGCCCGAAGGTGCTCGGCAACGTCTCTAACTGAAGAGACGATGTAGTAATCGCAGTATGCAACGATGTAACAAGGCACACGGATACATAGCATGTCGAGACGACGTACGATGATGTGCTTCGAAGCACACTGAGATACTAGCCCAGGTGCTTCCCCAACTCCGACGGTTTGGGGTTCCTACCCCTAAACCCTGGACCCTGAACTCTCATCTCATCCTCGCCGGCCCACGCTCCCGGAAGACCCCCCGCGAGCCACGCTCGCCGCTTAAACTGCGGTTTGGGGGTTTGGGGGTAACTACTGATAGTGTTTGCTCGAGTTTCTGATTGTAGTCATAACGGAATTTATCACAAAATCCTATTGCATTGAATTTAAACCCCTATTTTTTTGCTTCTTAGTCCTATTTGGACTAGACTATACTCCAAAACCCTGCTTGAATTATTAAAGCCTGGGGTCTGGTGAGCACAAACTGCATCGCATGCCCAGGCCAGCAATCAACTTCAATCGAGCTTTGGGGTATATTTGCTTAACCTGTGGTAGGGAACCCCGAGGGATAGTATTGCTTCGAGTAGATATGCATGTCCCTAGATTGAGATCAGCGCCCTCAAGCGGTGCTGAGACCGTCGCGTTTAGCAAGCCCAAGTTTCCCAAATTCGCAGCTCCAAGCGGAACAAGTATCTTTGCTCAAAGCCCTGAGGTTCAAAAGCCCTACCGGAGACCCGACGTAGTCCTGCGGACTGTTCCGCAGCTTGTGGTTTTGTCGCTGCTCCTGCAGAGGTTCGGGGTTTCGCGTTTCGAGTTTGGGGCTTACGGTACAGGGATTAGGGGATGCTTGCGGTTTCGGGGGGATGCTTCAGAGGATCCAGCGATATGTAAAAAAAATCTGAAGAAGATACAGTGGGGTCTGAAGGCTGTGTTAAGCAGACGACACGATCTAGAACTCTAAAGTAGCATGCTACTCAGGGCAAGGCAAACTTCCGAGCGTTACAAAATTGCCTTTACACCACCCTTACCCACTCGAAGGCATCCCGGGAGGCAAGATCGCGGTGTCTTGCATTCGCCTGCCGCCCTTCATTCATCAGCGAAAGCATTGCAAAGTTGCGAGGCGGCGGCACTCTGCGTCAATTCAAAGGTCCAACTTTTTCTGCACCGAGAACTTGGAGTAAGCCAGTTTAGCAACACCCTGTTTGTACAAAGAACATGTTCCCGCTCGCCTACGGCGTTCGGAGTCCCTCAAGCACAGAGGCTGAAGACCCAAAGGCCCATTCTCACATTCTTATCAAGCCACACAGCCCAACTCAAGGGTCGTGCCAACTGTGCTGGAGCAGGTTTGCCAGGAGAGGCCTTCAAAGAAGGGCTTCGCTGGCGAGTCCTCCTAGGCGGCCTTCTTCCCCTCCAGATTCACAATGTCCGGCTTCGACATCGAGGATCCTCATCCTCGTCCTCACCTGGAAGGCCGTCCAGCTGCTTCAGTTCATCCTCGGTGAACATGAACCTCATGGCCTTGCGGATGATGGCCAGAGAGGCCATGAAGAACGGGAACACCACCGACGTTTCCTTGATAGCTTTCAACCCATACAGAATTCCAAGACAGATGACCTGGACGACGGTGTACAGGTGCACTCGCTTCGCCGGGTCCCAGATGAGCCACAACTTCAACCGGTCGAAGAGGTTGTTGCCGGTCAAGCCCGCGAAGAACACGCCCTGCAGCACGGCTCGCGGCAGGAACTTCAGCACCAGTGCCAGGAAGAGTGCCGATCCAATGAGCAGGTGAATCCTTAGTTGCTGAGCTCAGAGTTTATAAGCCCAAACAAGTGTAGATATCAGTTCCAAGGGGAGAATATGTGTAAAATTGTGCAAAGCCTACTCATTCAGCTTCTAAGATTCAAGAAGTCGGTAGCACGCTGTTCCACCACCTTGGCACTCACCTTCTGGAAGCTGCTTCACTTCGAAAGTGGTCAGCGAGATTACGTGGGTGACGCTCGGCACCGTGGAGGCCACGGACAGGGGCAGGCCCAGCACAGCACAGACGGGCAGCGTGAGCGCTCCCCGAACAAACTTGAGCCCCTGCTCTGGAAGAAACACAAAAAGTAGACCTCTGGGCAACTCTCCGAGCGCCACGATCTGACGAGGACCCTTGTTTTCACTGTCCATGTGGAGCCAGGCATTGTACTCATTCTTCGATTGAATGGTCGAATAGTTGAAGCTCCGGATTCCACTCCGCAGTTTGCAAAGTTTGATGTCCACGATTCTAGGCGGCAGCAAAGCGTTATGAAGCCAAAATTGGACGGTCTGTTCACGATCACAGAGGTGAGCTGTGTGATCGAGGTAACCCAAGACTGCAAAGCCAATAGCCTGTGTTTGTGCTTGAGGCGACACCAATTACGAATATGTTCCCCTACAATCCTGCAACCTCACACAGCACCCATCTACAAGAGACCAAAGCATGTTCAACTGTCAAGTAGCCGGGAGGATCGCATAAGCAATGCCCCAAGCTGGGAAGGGGCGGTCCATGCCGGCGGGATGTTTTTGATCCACGGCCGCTTGCTGCCATCGGACAAGCTCAAGTTTGGAGAGAAGTCCGCATCCACTTCGTCCACGGCAACTGCCAAGTCATAGACGACAAGCGTATAGGCCAGGACCGGACCGGTAGCACCCGAAATCGAAAGGGGTTGACCGGAAAATGTTGAGAAGATCAAGCCACCGAAAGTATCGCAGGGGCAAGGGCTGCGATGAACCTTACTGCCACAATTGGCCAATACCAACGGAGAAACGCTACCTTACAAGAACTCGACAAGCTTCAAAGGTCTGCATATTGCAGGACGAAAGAACAGGTACAAGATGGACGCTACCGACTTTTGGAAGTTCTCCGGTTTGAAGGCATCCGTCCCATCACTGCAATACAGAGGCGCTCGCCTGCGAATATCGAGTCGCAAGCGCCCACCAAGCTTGCCAGTGAAGCCCAAGGGACAGCAATCTTTCTTGGGTGCATGCGCGATGTTTCCGGACTCGTAGCGGTACACAGCCTCGGCTTCCGCCATGATAGACCTGTTGCACGCGATTGAAGGAAGCGAGAACAAAGGCTGGTGCCGAAGGACCTCGAGCCAAAGATGCCGCGAAGTCATTGGACTGTGTCTGGGATGGTAAGTTAAACACGAAGCAAATCATAATTCGACGGGAAACACACTCAATTAGGAACTTGCTGTTGGGTCGCACACATGTGGTGTCCAGTTTAGCATTTGTGGCCCATCCGGCTTCATCGAGTTCGCAAGGCAACTGCTGCCGCAATCCAGCCGAAGGGATGAACAGAACAGAGTTCTGATCTTGGTGGCTCGCCACTCAATCACTCCAGTTCATCAATCAGCACTTTGGGGTGATTCAGCGAATTCAACTTCAAAGGGCTGGACCGAGCCTGTGTAACCCCACGCAGCAGCTGGTAGAAGACGTGAAAGTTCCTCTCACCCTGCGCTTGCAGGACCACGCGGGACCTGGCCACTGGAGCATCTTGTGCACTTGTCAACTTTCGATTCCAAGCCTGCACTGCGGAGATTTTGGAAGGGAAACCGCAGCGTGTTCTCGGGGCCCAATTTCCTCCCCCTTCCTGGGATACACGGCCTTCACCGCACCGGTCAAGATTTCTGACGTCGCACTCGCTTGCTCGGCTGGCTCGAGGTCGCTCTTCAACCACGAGCACTGTGCGGCCACGCAGGAGTCGTGCACTTCTCGAGCTGGCCCTCTGATGTGTATGACACCCACGCAACACGTTGTTCTGCAGTTGTCCATTCTTCAACTGGACCGCTCGTCGAATGCGAAACTCCAGCTGCATGGACCTACTTTGGTCCGTGCGGGACATGGACATTAACTGCCGCGCACCTGAAGCACAGGTGCGACTGGCTCGTTATCCGGGCTGTGCAGCACGCAGCAGCCAGTTCTCGCGGTGTGCCCTAGGCCCGTGACGGTACCTTGAAGAGCTCTTATCTCAAGCTTATCATTGGAAGTTCTAGGGTTATGACTCATGACTTTACTGTTTGCAATACTATCCCTGAGATTTCCTGCTAATATCGCTGCGATTAACAGTATTAGCACTGGCGGTAGTGGTAGTGGCAGTGGGTCTTTCGATTAGCGATCTTACTTGTTGCGAAAAGGTCATGAGCGCAGTTCCTACTGTGCTTCTCATGACTTGCAAGTACTGCTAAACCCTAAACCATCCTAAACCCTAAACCCCAAACCCTAAATCCCTAAGTCCTAGGAGTGGCGTCTCAGACCTGGCAGCCACGGCGGCCCAGGCCGGGGCCACCGCCCCCGATGTTCGGAAAGGGCTCGCCTCGGCTTGGGAGCTTGGCTTCTTGGCTCAAGAAGGGATCTCTCGTGCTCTCCGTCTTTCTGGGTTGAAGGATCCTGGTTTTAAGGCTTCGGGCTTTAGACGTTTACGGCTGGCTGCGACCTATTGGGAGTTTAAGGGTTCTCGGGCATCCCGTGTGTCGGGAAGTGCTGCAGGCTCCCGATACGTATCGGACTGCGCTAAATCGCATGGGCGTGCGGGTGTCCTTCGCCGTGTGCCATTTGGATTGTAGCAGTGTCACTGTCTGCACAATCAGCTTTCCAGGACCCGGGTGACACTAAAAGGGAAGAGTGGTCGCGACTTGCTAGCCGGGCAAGGCTTGCAGGACTTGGTCCTTGTTTTTGCTCCTGCACTTGACTCGCTGAAGCTGAGAGCCGTACGCTTTGCTTTGCTGATGCCTGCGCCCGCCGCTGCCCACTCGCGCTAGTTACAAGAGGCTGGTGGCGGGCCATTGAGCTCCGGAGAAAAAATAATCCAATCTGGTCAGCTTGCTTGCAGCCTTTGCCCACATTAGGGAACTCGGACCGAAGCAAGTTCAGCCTTTGGGAAGCTCGTCGTCGTCGTTGGCCATGTCGCTAAGCGTCTCCATCGCGGGCTCGAAGAAAATAAGGTCCTACGGGACATGAAGGCAAAAGCAGATGGGGATGCTTCACACACGTGCGTATCGTATGGGTCCAGCGTTTAGAGCTTAAGTTTAGGATTCAGAGTATAGGGCGACTCTGGTGCAAGAGAAGATGGGAACCACAACATCGCAGACGGTTTCAACAGCCTCTGGGACCTAGGAATCTACTGGTACAAGGGATCCTCCTCGCGAATTCAAGACAAAGCTACCCCTCCGTGAGGTGCCCGTCCCACGCGCCTCCTGCTGAGAATCGTCCTCCTCCGCCATACTGGAGGCCCGGTCGGTGGCATTGGCTCGGAACATGGGCCTCTCAAAAGACTGCAGATTCAGAAATACAGCAGTACCGACAGTTCCATCGTATGTTGGCTTCCGGGCCTTTCGGTTAATACAGTACTGGCTTGAGTGCCTGAGATGCCTTCTTGCCAGACCCTTTCTGCCCCTGCTACTTGTGTGACTCTTGCTCATCGTTGCCCTTTTGTTATTGTAAGTGCTTGTTTTGTGATCATCACCATGAACATGTTTCTCCCCTCTCTACCCATCCAACACCGGCGAAGTGCTAGACAATCCTGAGATGGACTCGGTTAACAACAATCGAACTTATCCGCTATCCCCAGGAGCAAAAGCAAGAAACACTTTTTGATAAACTTGGCAACCAGGCAGTAATAACAACTACAGTCAGAAGTAAACAATACAAGTATCACAGTGATAGAAATACTCATGTCCTGGCCAGCTTTCCAGAGCTCGCCAAGCTCAGCAAGGTTGAGGGGGTTTTGACAGTGCTACACACTTGTTGCGGCCGTTGCTGTTGGCTGCTTGCATTGCTGAAGCCTCCGTCAACTTAGCGTCTGGATGTTAAGCCTGCCACGACCTTCCGATGTGAGTTTCTCGGGTCCGAAGGCTCTAAAAACCTTCATGGGCAACCTCAAGCCCTGGTTTCTGAAACCCTCCAAACCTGCACGGGAAACTTCGCAACCCTAAACCCTAAACCCTAAACCCCAAAGCCCTCAGCTTCGTAAGCGCTCGGCAAGCTTCGGCTCTGAAGCAGCTGCGAGTTCGAGATGTCCTTGGTTGCTTTGAGAGCTCTTGGCTCGTGAAGCGCCGTTGAGGGCTTGAAAGGGTTTGCTATGTTTGTACTGAATTGCGGAGTAGAGTGCATGAAACGTGTGTGGAAGAGAGAAAGACAGAGACTCAGAGACACAGAGACAGAGAGGCACAGAGAGACACAGAGAGACACAGAGACACAGAGAGACAGAGAGACAGAGAGACAGAGAGACAGAGAGACAGAGAGACAGAGAGATCGACAGACGGACAGACAGACAGCCCGGTGCAAACTGCGAAGAGAGCTCCGGAGATGCAACTCCTATGTCGCTGAAGCTGCGCTTGATACTTAGGCCGGCAGTGCCGCCACCCTCAGACCAATATCATAAAATGCAAGTACTGACAAACATCACCTGGCTGCCTCAAGAGGAGTCCACTTCGAGTAGGAAGAAGACTGCAACCTTCTGCATGTAATAGCATGTTGCTGCAGCTACACACACATAAATATACACATGTATACATATATATATATAATGGGTTTTGCAACGCTACTACTCAACAATGACTTTTGTGTGAGCCCCCAGTCATCCTTCCGGATGGAAGGATATCTTGACACAGGCCGGGAGTGCATGAGTGCAGATGCCACCACCGCAATGTGCCGAGCTCCCGACGATGTCCAGGTCTACCTCCAGCTGGGCGTCTTCGCTCAGCTTCACCAGGCCCTGTGCCTCCAAAGGAAGTGGACCCTGCTGAGACTCTGAAAGGGTCCCGCGCCGGAGTCACAAGAGGGGATGCGGGTATGACCTCTGACGGGAGTCGGTGGGAGTGGTGCGTATCACCTTCGATTCGTGACTTGACCGTAAGCCTCGGTCCGTTGCTCACTTTCTGGGCCGCGATTTCACAGCAATGCTTCTTGCAAGGAATCAGGAGGGCGAATCGTCGAAGTACTTTTAACTTGGCAACCTGTCGATAATAAGATCCCCTGACGTCTTCGGTTTTGATCAGAGGTGTGACTCGGGTATCCGCATTGTTTTTTCCAGGTAAGCCCATGAAAGTGGTGTAAATTCCATGCACACCTTGGGCCATGCTAGAAAGCATGGAACCAAACGACAATTAGCATACTGCCACATAGCTGTATTCTTACAGGGCTGCACACCGTCAGGTTGCCGTATTACCTCTTGAGTCCCTGCCTAGTCCGAGTCACCTCGATGCACTAAAAGAGTTTCAACCATGCGTAATGCTCTGTACACAACAACCGCGGGCAACGTCTTGCGAGTAGCACTTAAACAAATCAACATAGCAATTAGAGACATTCAAGCACAGAGACATTGACATACAGAAATAAGGACATGTGTACAGATATACCACATACAGATATCTACATATGTATGTGTGTATATAAATATGTAACATATATATATATATATATATATTTGGAACCGCCCCCCCCCCATGAACTACCGACCATCGTTTTGTATCGTAAATACCGTCTCAAACTAGCTTTTCCGGCAGGTCCGGATCCTGTATCTCTCAATTTCCAGAGAATGTGTCAGTCAACTCATTCAGGTTCGACGTGAGGACCGGATCCTGTATCTTTCCGGGAATCTCACATTTCAACAGAACGTGTCAGCCAACTCGTTGTGGTTCGGGGTGAGCACATAGTCAACGGCAATCCTGCGCCCTCCCAATCAAAAACAAACTTTTCCTACGGAAAACCAAAATAAACATCTGTCGGGAAACTATGAGGCCAAACTCAAAAGAGATTGTTTTTGGTTTTCCCTGGGAACATGATCGTTTTGGGCAGGAGAACAACCAACTTTTTCTACGAAAAAATGGTTGTGGCGTGAAAAACCAACTATTTCCTACTTCCTAGGAAAAAAGATGGTTTTTGGAAGGAAAACCAACCTTTTCCTAGTGAAAACCCAAAAAAAATTGAAACTATGCGGCCAAAATCCACAAAGATTTTTTCCCGAAGAAAATGTTGGTTTTCCTGCCCAAAATACTTTTTCCTAGGAACCAATTTGTTTTTCTGCCCAAAACAATCTTTTTCCAAGGAACGAATTGGTTTTTCATGCCAAAACCATGTTTGTCCCAGGAAATTATTTTTTGTTTTTCCGCCCAAAACCATCTTTTCCCTTAGGGAAAACCAAAAAAACAATAAGTCGGGCCTCATGGTTTCCCAGAAAACGTTTTTTTTGTTTTCCACTTGGTTTTCCTTCCCACAACCATTTTTTTAATGAAATCTCTGCATTTCACTCCAAGACTAAGCTTTTCCTAGCAAAAAAGTGCAATTTCATTTGGTGTTGGTGCGCGTTACGAACAAGTGTTGTCAATAAGGTTCCACTGTCATCACTATTGCGATTCGAATCCGCTGGGCGTAAGTACTATACAATAGACTGGGTAATAACCAGGACATATTCGGATCAGTTTTGGGCAGGACCCAGGATTTCAGTGTTTTCACAGCTACCTCTACGATTTCTCCAGCTGACTATGGTTGCAAACTCAAGAAAGAAACATTGGGGTCAGATTATGGGTGGTACAAACACTACTATAGATGACCTTAGGGCTGCTCTTAATGCGGCCATCTTTGACATGCAGGCTGGTGGCCGCGCAAGGCGTGTGTACGATGTACCTACATGTAGGTACTTAATAATATAAGTACATAGATACACACCTAGTAGTTACGTATATACAACAGGTACACTCAAGTGTGAGTCAAAGCAAAAAACCACACCAACCTTCGCAGCATTGGAAGACGAAACCCGTGGGCATCCGGCCATTCGCCTCCAGCTCGGCAAGCTTCTCAACGGCTTTGGCGAGCGTGTCCTCGCGCTTCTGAGGTGGGGAGTTCAGTCTTGGGGCGTGTCTACGGGCTTCGATGGTGTCTTGTCACTAGAAGCTCATAGTTTCCAAAACCTATGTTCCTACCATCTATACTATCAGCTTTCCGGGTATCATGCCTGCTTTGGCGATCGTGACTCCGTAGCATCACTAGTGTAATCTTCTTCTTCCTGCATGGTCCCTCGACCCCCCTTTTTTTCCCGAAGACCCTGAACCCCAAATCTATAGAATCAGAACCCCAAAAGCCCTCAAACTAAAGCTCTGAGGCATCCTTAACCTGAAGTCCTGAAGTCCTGCAGCCTGAACCCGAAGCCCTAAACGCCTATAAGCCCCTTATCGATCCCCGCCAGAGACTGCATCAGAGTAAGCCTTCATAGGACCCCTTCTCGAAAACCTTGTAGTGCTCTTATAAGCTCTTATAGTGACCCCTTGTAGTAGTCCTTCTGGCACACCTTCAGAGATTCCCTTAAGACTCCCCAAAGACTCGGCGACTTCTAAAACGTCTGGGCTCCGGGCAAGTCTCACGGCCAGGCGGCGTTCCGTCAGGTCCAAGCTGGACCCTAGAGGTTTTGGGCAGGTTGTTGAAAGTTGTTCAAGAACTTACTCTGGAATCTTGATAGGGCTTAAAGAGTGGTTACGGTTTTGAGCTGCTTTGTAGCAGGTTTGGGGTTTGGAGTTCAGCGCAGCTTTTGTTCAGGGGTCTCTTCCGTCTGCAAGGTTGGAACGCCTCTATAGCCGAGCCTGAAGTTTAGGGTTCAGGGTTCGGGGAGTGATGTTTAGAGCTTGGCACGGCAATACTAGTAACGATAGTACCCATCCTACCGAAAACGGGATCTGGATTTAGGACTTTAGAGTGCGCAGGATCGGAAGGAAACAAAGCTTCGGAATTGCACTCAATGCTGACATATGAGAAGAATGATAGGCAAGAGCAAAGCTTATGAACACTGGCTCATAATACTGTCGATATGCAGGCGTGGTATGGCAACCGAAGATCGACGGTGCAAGAGCTGCGAAGTGTCGTCTCCTCCCTGAATGACGCTGACACGAAGTGCATAGAATCAGCGAACCTTCGACGCTGGAGCTGGCACTGAGACTGGCACAGCCGGCTTTGCCGTCCATCTGGCGAGCGATGCTTGTGGTTGTGTTGGGCAAGGGACGTGAGGACATGGGGATTGCACTGTGGATTGCGCCGTGGCTGCTTGATGTGTCTCGCTGCCACTCCAGCGGTACTCCTGTCGTAAAAGCAAATCAGCATCGCTTGCTGACAGCAATAAGCAGAAGCATCCATCGAAAGAACACACAACAACAAAGGGAAGATAACGACGATCAAAGCTATGCAATCATGTTCGCCGTTGCCATTCGTAATGCAGTAGTTAGTAGTAGTGGCGGCAGCAGCTGCAGCAGTAGCCTGTAGGACGTAGGATGAGTGCGAAGTACACACGGCACATATCAAGCTGTACAAGGCGCCGTGGACGTAGTCAAAGCCGTCGTCATCATCATCATCGTCATCATCCTCATCATCATCATCGTCAGCAAGTCACAACTTGAAGTGAATTTACCACCAGCAAGTTCACTAGCATTCTGCATGGTTCTTACCTATTGCCAGAATCCTCGGCTGTTGAAATCCGCACACTCTTTCCAGCAGGAACCCCAGCCCGGCAGAGGCACAGAGGAGCGGGACCTCGTCTGGGCTCTTCTGAAGCGAACCGATGAGGCGATCCATTCGCTGGATCTGCTCTGTGATCTCAGCTTGTGCACGGGACGATACGTGAGCACAAGCCGGCCCTGCCTTGGTCTATATGCAAGGAGCAAGTGAAGTGACTGAGACGGCTACGGCGCTGATCTTTTTGAGAGGCACCTGCACAGTGGCTCTTTTAAGCAGAACACGCCCTGGTCATCAGATTCTCTCAGGCGCTTCTCATCACGACAAGCTGAATAGGGCTTGAACTTCTGCCAATCATTATTTCTCTCCCTCGACATACCACGGTGAAACAAGTCAACAGGAAGGTTCCCTAAACTGCTACAAATAGCAATCTCCTTTTTCCAACTCGTCCTCCCCATTATCATCGACATCATCATCCGCATCACCGCATCACGATAAGCATCAGACTTGTCGTCGTCTCAACGGTATCAGGACGTGTTGTGTCCACCCAGCACCAGCACCACCGCCACCACTATTCCAGCAGCACGACAAACAGAACCAGCAGCAGAAGCAACAGCTCCATCACCAGCAGCAGCGGCAGCAACGACACCGGCAATGACCATGCCCACGACAACAGCGACGAAAACACACGTCGTTGGCATCACCACCACCACCGGCATCACCATCATCGTCAAAATCATCATCAACATCACAAGCCGCATCGAAAGCAGCATCGCTTCAAGATCTTTAGAAACATCATCTAACAACCAAAACATACCAAATCCATCAACAGTCCCACCATGAAAGCCATCAGCATCACAAGCCTCATACTTCTCTCCCCTTGGTTACCCAAGTTCTGTTCTTCATGTCTGTCATCGAACGACGGCAAAATCATCATCCTCTCCATCACTGCTCCAATTTATCACCATCCTCATCCTCATCATCATCATCATCATCATCAGCAGCAGCATAGGCTAGTCATCATCATCATCATCATCCTGATCGTCATGGCCATAAGCATCATCAACATCATCATCCTCATCAGAATCATCATCCTGGGTTTCATTCAGAGCCCAGACCGCAACGCACTCCCGCTGGGAGTGCGTACGCTCACGGACTCTAGCAGCTGGTCGAAGCACTGGTTCACATGCAGAACCATGCGCCTGGGCACGGCGCCGTGACTTCCCACTGCAAAGCCATAGGGGTACGATTGGGGCTACCATAAGGCCACTATTAGGGTACGAAAAGAGAGTAAAGGGGTGTTAGAACCAAGAGCTTAATCGCCTCATGCTTGAGATCGTGGAATCAAGTTCTGACGAGCACACAATTGCCAGACTTATGGTCTGGAGCCTACCTTTACGTCCACATTCGCCTCCACGGATAAAATGCCAGATATACTGTGCTACCAACCGTCTCCAGTCGAGAGGACTAGCTTCGGGGCTTGCGGCTCGCCCCATGCTCGCCTTATTGCTCAAAAGCCCAAGAATGATAGATGCATGCAGAAGTCGCGAGGCCAACAGCAAAAGGCACCAAGACAAAGAAGCAGGAAGAGAAACGGACGGCTAAGCGTCGCAAATGGTGACAAAGCTTACGACTGGCATCATGTCGTTCTCCTGATGGATTTTCGACTGGTGGATTCTGATGTGGTCGCGAGCGAACAAAAAATAAACTAATACTCCCCATGTATGTAGATGCAGGAAACACGACCACCTAACGGATTTGTACTATGGACCCTCGTTAGGCAGTTCCATCCGGAAGCATCTTCCGGACCCTCAATCCGACTAAACCCTGAACCCTGAACCCTAAGAACAGCTGGCCCCGATCCCTCCATATCCCTGAGTCTTCCCTCCCAACCCTTGCAACACCGCTGCAACCCCCTTCTTTCGAAGCCTTTTTCGTCCCCGAGCCTCGTTAGTCGATGGAAGTCGCCAGCGAGCTCCTGCCATGTTTGCGGCAACTCGGCGGGCGTTACAAGGGGCGTCGGAAGTCCCTTCCCAGGGCCTCTTTGCAAGGGCCTCTAAGGGCCTTTGAATCGCGGTCTGGGGGTCCGAGCTCGAGGGGTTGAGGCTTTCGGTCTTCGAGCTGGCAGGAGGGCGCAAACATCATTAGCTTTATCATCCTCGCCATCATTGTCGTTTGGGAATCCAGGGCCGTGGGTAAAAACTTCGTTCCAAGAAACCCTCAACTCCGACAGAAAGCCCAAGCTAGGTGCCGTGAGGCCCGGGAGTGCCTCCTCCAGCTTTAGGAGGCCCTTGGGGTCAACGGTGGCCTCGGAACACCGGGGCGTCGATCTGAGGTCATTGAGGCAGCCGGCTCGTTACTCAAAACAAACTCATGCTCCAAAATTTCGAAGTTTGAAGCCCCCACCCCACCGCCAGGTGCCCTGGCAGCGCCGAAGGACCGAAGCTCCAGTTCATCCAATTCCAACCTCCCTCCGGGCGTCTGGGGAAAACACCACGAGCCAGCGAAAGCCCCTCAGGAACTCCTCGATATTCACCAGACCGTCCTCGGGCGACACTCATCAGCCGGCTGAGAAAGCCGAACTGTGTACATCGTATATCACCACGCGCCAAGACATCCTCATCGTTAGAAGACCAAAGCAAGCCCGAAGCAGCAGGAACAGCAACGGAAGCGCCGGCACTTAGGCTGATAGCACAAGGCCACAACCTGTCCTTGTCACCGTCGAGCCACTCGAACAGCTCACCCAGATCCTGCCAAGGCACCACGCTAACGAGAAACTGAAGGCTGTTCCTGTAGCCACAGCACGAAGCCATCACTTTGGAGATAGAGAGTCCTGGGCATCAATGGAGGATTCCTCCATCACCGTCTTCATGATGTCGGTGCACATCAACATATTGTTGAACCTCGCCACCAGGGGGGCAAAACTGTGAAGGCCCTCGAGGGATGTCCATGACCACGCGCGAACGAAGAACCAAAAAGCCTCTGAGCCCTCCACCCTTGGACCACAACAGAGCGAGAGAGCACCAAACATTTCTGCTGCAAAGCACAGACTCAAACCAGAGGCATCAAACGGCATGGCTGTATGCAGACCTCGAATTCTGACCTCTTAACGCTTGCGCGTTCTCGCAACTGTTGTTCTGCCAGGGGGCTCGTCCTTGGAGACCTCGCCGGAACCATCCGTGTCTGCCTGGAGCTGATGTCGCGCTTCGGTATTTACGCATATCTCACCCCCGAAGCCCTGGCATCCAACACGTTAACTGAACAGATACATCATGTACATACATATACTAATACATACAACAGGATACATAAAATAGATATGCGTAAGTACACTTCCATATATTACATACCTGTGCACACACACACACACATGACTTTGTGTGTGCATTGATCCATATAGGTTTTTGTTTTGGTGCACGTGAGCCCAAAAACTGGAGAACAACGATAAAGACATGTCAATGATAGTGTGTCAACCGAGAGCAGTACATTGCTACAGGACTCATGGGAACTAGATACTGATAAGAATGATAAGACTATTGTTAAGGCATTCTCTTGGCTCCAGAATCGCGAAAAGCATGGTGCCAGGCCCGCCGAAAGAAGTCCATCAGTACCTGGAGGGTGCCAGGAAAAATTGAACAAAGCTAAACGATGCTCCGTGATTTCACGCTCTTTGGATTCCTCGTTGGGCACCCTGAAGACAGCATGAGGAGCTCTGATTGTAGCAAAGCCAACACAACCAACACCAACTTGGGCTGTTCGAGTCTTGAGCAATTCTGCGAATGCGTTCGACTGGAGCCCTGTTGAGCGGCAAAGATCTGGGAACCCAGAAGCCTGCATGCTGGAAACCATAACGAACTAACAACGAACTCCTGCACGAAGATGATCTGCGGTTTGGGGCTCAGGTCTGGGTACAAATCCCCAAGGCCCTGGAAAATCAGGAACGAAGCACACTTTTTTCCGGCACCTCTCCGGCAACGCATCCCTTTCTGTCTGTCTTTGAAGCAGAAGGCGTGGCGCCAGAGGCGTGGCCACTGGTATGAAAACCATGTCTCGGATTCTTCGCCGGACAATCCTCTCTTGGGACGGCCCGAAGATTTCGGGCGAAAACCCAAAGCCTAAAGAAAACCCTACAAGCCGACAAAAAACACCCTGAAGCCTTGAAGCCGCATGAATCCGTATGAAGTGTCGGGTGCCCCCACTTATACCACTTTGAGTTATAATCTTCACTCTCGTGTTGGTTGCTTTGGCCTCTTGTCGACCACACTCCGACCGGTCACCCTACTGCGGGGCCCGACCGTTGCCAGAGCTCCGGAGCATTTTCTCGAGCTCTGGCCAGGGTAAAGAGCGATGCCAGGGGTGACGAAGGGGGTTCTCCTCAAGCATCCACCCGTCCTTCGGCTCTGGCATGCTGTTGGTCTGGGGCCGAGGGTTGACGGTGTAGAGGTTGGGATGTAGATTCCGGCGTTCAACATCCAGGCCCCAAGCCCTGAAAACCTGAAGCCAAAAATCCCGAGCCGAGCGTCTTGGGCAGTTGGTCTCGGACGGTTCTCCATGAATGCACCGTCTGCAAAGCTGCTGCCAGGGAGGGGCTCCAGCCAGGCGTGCACCTCGCGTTGGCGGCTCAGGTGAACGAGGTCACAGGTGAGTGATGAGAGGCCGTGCCCAAAAACAAGCTTGGACGTCCCCCAAGCCCTGTGGAGAGAATCTGAGGAAACAGATAAAACGGCCTTAGCTAGGCAGAACCCTGTTTCCCAGGTTCAGATAGGCTCAGGAAAGACACCGAGTATGTCTGGTAGCCAGGCCCGGTGAACTCCAGATCTTCTGGTGTCATCTCCTGAAAGCAGGTCCAGGTGAGATTCTGCAGCTCTGCGATTCACAGCGTCAGCAAAAGATGTATTATGGTGTCTGGAGAGGATTGGGGTGTTTGGCTTTCCAGAATCCCATCGAAACCTGCAGAAACAAAGGATTGGACCTGGGCCCTTCTTGAGTCCTCGGTCGGGGTTCGCAAGGTAAACCCGATTGTGGGATACGCGGAGTCTCCTTTCCATCCATCATGGTGCGGATGTACCACCTGTCCAACTCGCAGATATAGCCTCGGACACTCCCCACTCCAAGGGATGGGGCTTCCCAGGTAATCGGCCCTGTGGCTCGAACAGCAGCAGCCCTTCGCAGGCTGAAGGGAGTCTCAGCGAGACAAAACACGGCCCGAATAGCCTGGGTTATGGTGTGAGGGCACTCTGCCGCCAAAGCAACACACCTGCATTCCTTCGGGCACATCCGCAAGCGAGGACGCAGGCACACGGCCTGCCTGCCTCAGACGCACAGGGATACTAGCCCTGCAACCCAAGAAGTCCCCGCAATTGCGGCCCAGCCACAGCACCCCAGCGATGGTCGCCTGTCCCACCATTTCGTGCTGGGAGCCATAGTTGCGAAAAGAGCCATCGGGCTGGATGTCCAAAGTACAGTCGTACCTGGCTCTTCTAGCTCATCGGGCAAGAGCCTTTGCTTTCAAGCTTAAGGTAACTGCGGGCATGTACCAGTGTCTGGGCGAAGCAGATACCGAAACGGCTGTGTGGAAACATGCTTCGGAAACCTTCTTGCGGGGCTGCTTGCTTGTCACGCTGACAACACTGATTATCCTTCTTGCATTTGACTCCTGGACCCCGGCACCTGCTAAGATCAGAAAGGAGAAATGCTCTGGAAGGACCTGCACCCAAACCGAATCTACGAGTGTACAGTGCACCCCATCGTTGGCTGATAGGGGCCCCTGCAAGTCTTACAACTTACAACCTCCGTTCTCCCCGTCTCAGGAGAAACAAGCAAGCCAAGAGTACTCAGGCAGCGAATATCTTCCCGCAATGGTCGCCTCAGCACGCGCTCCCTCCGGGTGTGGGATGGGCACTTGCGGCTCATGAAGTGACACCTTGAAGTACTTAAGTCCACCCCGGGCTTCTCTGTCTGCTCTTCTTATCTTCTTATCTGTCGATTTCATCGGCTTGTAGACGAGCCAGAAACAAGATCTGGGTGTTGGGGGTGCGGCATGGTGCGATGGATCGCACCAGCAACCCGGAGGGAAGTCCTTTGAACCGCCGTGCGAGATGCCTCTTGCTTGATGGATATGGCAAAGCCCCCAGACCCTATCTCCAAAGCACATTCATAGGACCTCCCCCACAAGCCCCATCTCACTCAGCTTGCTCCGAAGCAAGCCGTAATCCAAAGTAACAGGAATGCTTCGGACCACGACCCTGGCGCATACAGCCGGGTGGCGAAATGCCGCGCGGCGGTTTCGAGGTCGTGCTGCTGTAGAAACGGAGGCCCCTCGTACCTTTGAAGCTGGAATCCAGAACCCCACTGCATCACCGCAGGTCAACCTTGAAAACCTCGAAAGCCCCAACCTCAATGATGCGAAAACCCCCTCACCCTCGAAGCTGAAGCTGCTAGGCGAAAAGAAAACATGAGAGAAAACGTGAAGCCTACACCTCTGTTGCACGTTGCTGTCAACGGAAACGTGCTAGTGGACAAACAAACCTAGCTCAGAGTCTATAGACAAATTTCCAAGTGACCGAGTCCAAGATAATCCAAGCGTCCTTCCTCCTTGCCACCGGCTTAAAAGGAGGCCGGCACTTCGCAGTCTAAGCTTGACGTTCTCCTCAGAACCCAAGGCTCTCAAGCTTCTGACTTCGGGCTTTCTCACTCTCGTGATCCATTTTTCAGGTTTGGAGACTGAGCCTGGAGGCGTTGGGGCTAAGTTCCGGCCGGTTTCGCCGGACCGCTTCGCACTGGTGGGGAGACTCGCGCTGTAAGGTGATGCTGGGTGGCGTGTTTCATGTCAGCGCGGTCCGCCCCTGAGGCGAAGTGGATTTCCGCCCGCCCTCCCCACCATCAACGGTCTGTCTCTTGCTTGCTTGCTTGCTTGCCGGCATCTGGACGCATGCGCTACGCCAGAAGTCCACGTCTAGAGTCGGTGTGGGACAAATCCCGGGAGTCAGTAACGCGCTACAGGTTAGTCTTTCTTTTCCAGGGCAGCAAAAAGAACAGAACGTAAAAAAATGTAAAAAAGACAGGACGAGGTCAGCCTCTTATGCTCTCCCTTGGCCCCGCACCGCCGAGGCCCTCGAGGCTGCAGGGCTCGCCCAGCAGCCGAGCGCCGCGACGTGGGCGCAGGTGCGGCCGTCCAGGTAGGCGAAGACCAGGCTGAAGAGACCCAGCTCCTGGCTGGGGCTGTTGGGCCAGTAAGAGAGTCGGGTCGAGGTGTCTCACCGGTGCTTCTCGTACCACTAGGTACTACGGAGGACAATGGAGGACAACAAGTGTCAGTTGTCACGATACCTGCACCTCTTTCATAGCCACGCCTCTTCCTCAACTGCCCGCGATAAATGCATATGTCTGATATCAGATCCGATCTATATCATGTCATATCCGTATCCATATACATACATAGAGAAAGAGGGTCCTACCCCAGAACTGCCCTTCCCTAGCAGATCTCACAAGTCGAGGAGTCCCGCTCGGCCAAATGGTGCAGCAACCTGGGAAGAGCCGGGGTCTGAAAAAGGGTTTAGGGTTTTTTTTTGTTGAGCACCTTTTTCCGCCTAGCAATCAAGGTCGGCAGAACCCACGATTAGGGTTCTTACGGGATAGTGTAAAGGCTAAGGCTACTTTGAGGCGACTGTATTTGCTACAAAAAGCTTCTCTGCTTTGGGTCCTATAACGATTGCGATTCGGGTTACCATCAAGATTTAAGGGATTGCGTCCAAGGGATTCGACGTTTAGGGCTTAGGGTGGGTTCGGGGCGGCCAGCATGAAGATCGGGCTTGGTCTTGAGGGCATGTGCCTGAGTCGTGGAAATGAAGAGTGGCCGGAATGCAGATGTAGCTCAAAGGCTGCCACGTGTGAAGGGCAAGCCCCAGAAGTGAGGTTGGGAACGGCAAAGAGGGCCCCTTTTGGGGCAGAATCGACGGTTTCGAGTCTGCGAAGGGTGGAACTGGAAGAGCCGGCCGCGTCCGAGGCAGGCGGGAATGCATGCGGACTCGCACATGGAGGGAGGGCCTTGGGGGCTCCGGTGCGAGGTTCACAATCGAAATCTTCATACATATAGATGCATATAAACTTTTTTTATATGCAAGGATACACATGTAGTATCATATGGTGCGATAGCTGAACATGCATCGCCTGGAAAAGCTTGAACTCAAGCTACTGAGCCTCGGGCATTGGACTTCCCGACTTCAATCCGAAGAAGTCCCGCCACCGGACGAGAAATTTGTACCTCAGTTGTCCTACTATTATGGTTCTCTACAAAATAGTAGGGGAAATTAAACAAAAGATCCAAAGGACAACCCAGGTACACGATTTCATTGATGATCATTGCTCGACCTCCTACGGCAGAGCCCCGAGCCAGAGCTGCGGGCGTCAGCATCATCAAAGGGCTCCTTGTGCCTCTTTGCGCCTGTACACTAATCATTGCACTGATATACAAGATTGATACTAACAAGAACGAGAGCAAGAGAGATGGCAATGGTAACAACAAGGGTACTTGCTCTTCTCTTCATGATAGCTGGCCCGAGATGTATCGGAGCATCGACGCGCTGTCTTCGGCATTTTTCCACTCGCTGCAACTACTCTGTCGTACTCTGTCTGTCCATTGTCGCAGCAGCTCAACACAGGTCAGCACAAAACTCATTTAGCAACAAACGTTGATGCTGAGAAGCACCTGCCTGAACCCCAGCCAACAAGGCCTGCTCACGAGGCATCGATCAGTGTCGCAGTCACCTCATGCGGTCTGCTGGCAAGCCTTCAAAGCAGGGCAGATCAGCGTTCTCTCGCAATCTTGTCTCACCTGCTCTCTCTCTCTCTCTCTTTTCAGTCCGTGTGGCTTGTTTGGTCTCTTCAAGTTTCTTGCCTTCAGGGCATCCATGAAGTGCTGGCAGGAGGTGGCATCGCTCGACGACTTGAGGCACTGCGCCAACTGGTCCTGCTGGAACTGGCACGTGTTCTGGGCCTGGGCTTGAGGAGGTGCGCCCTCGGTGCGGTGGACCACCTCTGTCTGACGGGGCCCCATCACTGCATCCACCGCGCGGTTGGCCACGGCCATGCCGGTACCCATGGCCATGCCTGAGGCCATGGAGCCCATGAGGCCCGACAGCATGCCCCCACCAGCTGGGGCGGTCGCTGGCGGAGCTGCTGCGGGCGCGGCGGCAGGCGGCGGAGCACGGTGCTGCGCTGGTGGCGGCGCCTGCGCGGCCGGGGCCGCGCGCTTCGGTCCACTGCTGGAGGTACGTGCGCCGGAGCGAGGCATTGTGCTTCTCGGCGTCTCGAGGATGGGAATCGACTACGGGTCTGGGCCGTCAAAAGTCGCTGGGTGTGCATCCCACTTCATCCCCCACAGCGGTGCAAACACACGACTGCAGCTAGGCCATGTCTAGGTTGTAAAAAGCAGGCATCATCTTCACAGCGCCGAGTCGGCGCACTCCCTCAAGCTGCGCCATGTGACTGCTGCTCGGGTCGTGCTTCTGCGGCCCGTCATCTGTCTCCCTGGCAGGGCTGCAAACAAGCACGACGTGATACGACGTGACTCTGATGTCTCTTGTCTGCTGTTCTCTTTCTACCAGTCTCCGAGGCCAGGGCGCCGTGAGCCGCTCCTGCTTTGCTAAGCACGGCCGAGCCGAATGAAGTGAGCTGAGAAGGACACAGAGAGAGACTCAGGCTCAGGGCTCCTTCGTGGCCATCATCTTCTCGCTGACGACACCCGTCATCACCGCCAGAAGGCCCCAATTCTGCACAGCAGAAGCTAGCAGTGTGGCTCCGAGTTCACTGCCCATGGTTTTGCGTCTGGCCTTCATTCCTTCTTCTTCTCTGAGAAATTGAATGGAGTTCAAACCCTTCTCCCTAGCAAGGCTTGCAGCATCGACACCGCCTGCTTCCCGGCTGCCATGTGTGCTTCGTGTTGGCATGTCAGCAACCCCAAGAATTGCCAGGTCTCTGGGGCGCACACCGCGAAGATGTAGAAGATCACTGCCACAAACCTGCGCTTTCGGGTCGAGGGTCTAAGGTTTGAAAACCTTGAATTGAAACCTCGCACGGGAAAGCTTTGGGGTTGGCAAATCTCGGAATTCGAGGCCAGGCCCGCTACTGTCGACAACTCGCAGGGAATACCGAGCCCATGAGGATCGTACTGTTCAGGGAAAGGTCTGGGAGGCCTCTGCAAGCACACCCATCCAGCTCACACCATGGACCCTTCTCAAACCCTGCAGAACCCTCAAAATGAGGCCTACTCGTTTTGAACCCTGAATGTACTGTGCCTGCTTCCTGGGCTCATGCGGAAGAGCGGCGTGAACCTCGGAGTCTTTCGCGTTTGCCACGTGTCCCAGATGGGGCAGCACAGGGTTTGTCTTGCGGGGTTTGTGGAGTTCTCATAAGGATTCTATAATACGGCGAGCCTCAACCTAAACAAATGGAAAAGGGCTTTTGGATACATCATGCTAAATATTTGTGTGAATAGCTTCCGAGTTCCTTGCGGGGTTCCAGCACGGCTCTGAGGACCGGGCCCCATCAAACTCCAGCAGGTGATTGACTCGAACAGCCTCAGAAAGCCAAAGGCAGACGACGGGAGTGCCGTGGCCTGAAGACATCGATGTGTGTATATGTATACGTACGTGTCTACCTATCTGTCTGCATAGAAATAAACACATATACACATACACGTACATAGCATGTACATAGACATAGACATATGCTTATACTTCTACATATACTTGTATATCTCTATATGTACATATACACATGTGCACCTATATACATATATACCATGTAACTGTATACATATATACACAGATACACGTCTAACTATGTACAAGAGTACATATAAATACAGACATATAAACATGTGTACATGCATCATACATACATTCTCGTGTGTGTGTGTGTGCTCATACATATACGTCTACATATCTAACCATATTATATTCATGTTTACTGGTTCATTCAAGTTGCAGTGCGGCTGCTCGTAGTCTCAGCTAGTGTCCCAACCGTTCCGTATCGCACTGATGGCGTGGGTCGAAGTGTCACGTGTTGCTCCGCATTCCGGCCACAAATTGCAGTGCTCTAACCATATCTTCATCACCATCATCATCGTCATCGTCAACGCTCCGTGGGTCTGGCCCTTGCGACAAGAAGCTCGTAAAAGTATGTTTAACGAGAGTGGCTGAACCCCGTAGTTTTTGCGACAGCCCGCATCAGTGTCTAAGCCACTACATCGAACAAGTCTCAAGACGATTTAATGCCCGACATCGCCCAACCGAGGCAGGATGGTTACCCAAACATTTACCAAAGTATGACCTGGGAGACCAAACCACACATCGGATCGTGATTGGGCGTGTGATTGCAGAGGTCCCCATGTCGGGTGTTCTCTCCGCCACTGCCTCCTCTATCTGTTTCCTGACCATGGTTCGCTTTCCCACTAGACTCACCCAGGTTAAAGACCCGGCTTGACGCACTTGCAGACGGTTGTCATTGAAGAGTTCGAGCGGTCGCCCGAGACCCGCCGAGTATCTGACACGAACATGCTGGGCATCACCCCGTCGAACATCACCTGGCACGGGTGCTCTCGGCCTTTGGTCCAGAGCCCTCTACTACTACTACTACTACTACTACTACTACTACTACTACTACTACTACTACTACTACTACTACTACTACTGCCAGTACTGCCACTACTACCACTACTACCACTACTACCACTTCTACTACTACCACTACTACCACTACTACCACTACTACCACTACTACTACTAGTTATCCCTGTTATCACTAGTGTTGCTAGTAGTATTACCGTCACTACTACTCTTACAAGTATTACGAGTATTTCTATGTATTCGTCTTACTATTGCTATTACTGCCATTGACATATCTTATCATTTTCCTTGTTTCTGAACATTCTTAGGACCATTACGATTATTTCTGTTATCACACTGCCCTAATACTCTTGTTATTCCTACTAGTCTCATTATTCTTACTAGTCTTAGTGTTCTTACAAGTACTACTATTCGTAACATTGCTGACGGTTATTGACTTTAGTGTTGTAATTACATGTTCCACACTACTATCATGACTTATTCTTACTGTCGTTGCTATTATAATCATCAATATTATTGTCACGACTACGATTACGCTCATTAATACTGTAACAATTATGACTATTACTACTATTACTACTATTGCTACTATTGCTACTACTACTACTATTATACTATTACTACTATTACTACTATTACTACTACTACTACTACTACTACTACTACTACTACTACTACTACTATTACTACTAGTACTACTAGTACTACTAGTACTACTACTACTACTACTACTACTACTACTACTACTACTACTACTACTACTACTACTACTACTACTACTACTGCTACTGCTACTATTACTACTATTACTGCTATTACTACTATTACTACTATTACTGCTATTACTACTATTACTACTATTACTACTATTACTACTATTACTACTATTACTACTGATACTACTGCTACTGCAAGTACTATTGTTACCGTTATTGTTACTCTTATTACCATAATTACTATTGTTGCTGTTATTGCTACTGTTGCTCCTGTTGCTATTACTACCGCTATTGCTGTAATTACGACAACTACTTACAATATTACCATTACTACGATCATTACGGTAGTTAATTACTATTATCACTATTACTACGATTATTGCCGTTATTACTGTTGTTACTATGGCTGCTACTATGAGACTTATGAACTTTATGAATTTGTGACTATTATGATTTCAATGATGATTTACCTTAGCTACTACTATTCTTATGATCAGTATGCTTCTTGAGACTATCATTCGCATTATTGTTGTTGCTGTTATCGTTAGTACCGTTGTCAATGCTATTGCTATTGCTGTCATTACTTCTGCCTCTACTGTTACGACCGTTGTTAGTGTTATTCTCTCATTCTTGTGATAACAGGGACGAGACTGGACTCCTGAGATCTGAAAACACGCGCCCAGGTCGCACGGACTTCCTCAGCCTTCGATCCTTCCGGCAGGGGATGTGGCCATGACAAGACAACGTGCTGGCTACCAGGGCTCAGAGCTTGCGGTTCCGGGCTTACGGTTCCTTTAAGGGTTTTGGGGGAAAGTTTCGGGAAGGGGTAAGGTATGTGCCTGCTTTGCTGAATTAAGAGGCCACGTCCATCGAGAAGCCGGCCTTCGTCAGACATCTCTTCCTCAGACATGCCCAGGCACCTGGCACAAGCACGCGGGAGCTGAGAGTCGAAATCTGCGTGACGAATTTACATTAAAGACTGCATGTATTCCCGGAGGCATCCGTCCTCGCACACAGACCCTAGATCCCAAATCGCCAACAGCATAGAGCAAATCAACTCTAAAACCCAAATCCGAAGCCCTAAGCCGGAAGGTATCTCGACTGAAACTGCAACTGCTTCTTTATCTGCCACACCTGGCGGTCAGAATCGCACAGGCATACAGCAGCATGAAGAGGAATATGAGCACCTGAGTACCGAGTTGTGCAGTTGCTGGAAGCTCCGATGTCGACCATAGGAGTAGCATACTCCTCAAGAGGCAAGAGGGGAAACCCCCCGAATTTTTCACACTCGGACAGGCTCATACTAGGCAAGGATAGATGCGACAGTGAGACACGGTCAACTTCCGCCGTTCTCCGTGGATCCTTCAGCTCAGTTGTCTCGAAACTATCCCAATTGAATGCAGTGAGGGGCCTGAAAGGGAGAAGGCCCCTACCACAAGATCTCTAAGAACCCACGCGAACCACGGACAGAGACCACAAATCAGCCCGCTCAATCAGGGAGCTCTCACTGGAACTTGAAAGCTTTTGTGGAGCTCTCGGCACCATTGGGCTTTTGCGTCGTAGGAGGAATAGGAGCTGAAACCACCGGAGAGGCGGCTTTGCCGCCTTTGGCCTTGCTCTTCCCACTCTTGCCTTTGGCAGTTCCGCCTCTCTGGCGGCCCTTTCCGGAGGGCTGGTAGCCTCCTTTGCCCCAAGCTGGATAGTGCCATTCTCCTCCATCGTAGGAGGAATCCCAGGCGCAGTGGGGCCAGGCCCACCATTCACGTCCTTGATATTCCCAGCCGCCGGCGTGCTGCCACCAATCGCCACGGCTGTTCGCCTTCTTCTTCCGCTTCTCCTTCGGATCCTCTATCTTTAGGTCATCTTCCACATCCGAGACGGTGCGGACAGGAGACCCAACCACAACCGGTGCCGCTGGCGGCATGGCCGGAGCTAAGGTCGGCGGCGAGGGCGGTGGGCTCGGGGGCACATCCGGAGGTGGTGGTGGTGGCATCATGGTGTTCTCTGGTGGTGGCGTAGGGGGCGGTGAAGGCACATGCGACCCAATCGGTGCAGCAGTTGAGACTGGCGCTAGCACTGGTGTTGGCACGTGCATCTGCACAGACGTAGGCGGCACCGGAAGGAAGGCAAAGGGCTTCAACAAGTACCGCTTCCCGCAGTGCTCCAATATGCGGGGAGCTGGAAGCGGGTCCCGGACATTCAAGGGGTTTGCCAATCGATTGCGCAGCATGCTAGCAAGATGCGGTACCGAGAGGCCAATCATGTGGCAAATGTGGTCAGCCAAAGCGTCTGCCACATACGGCGCATGGCAAAGCACCTCGAGGAGCATGTGGCAGTCATCCAGTGCGTTGTGCGCCTTGAACTTTCCTTGGCCGACTTCTGAACCCCTCCTAAAAGTTAGTTAAACTTTTGGCCTCCTTGTTATAATTAGTATAGAAACCCCAAAAGTTAAAGTCCTAAGAGCCAAGACTCGCTTCGATTCGCCGACATACCTCTGATGCATCTCCGCCAGGGCCAGGCTCATGTGCCGGCCCCGGTACTCCGCCGCCACTGCCGGATTGCCGTAGCTTTGCTTCACGGCCGCCACTGGGTCCGCGTACATCAGCCGTGGACACCAAGACATGTCCAGGCGAAGACGGTAGATCTCTTTCTTCAAAACAAACTCGTCCAGCGCTGCTCCGTTGTGAGCGAGGAGCACGACGTTCCCTGTTCCCCCGGCAGCACGCTGGAGGAAAGGAACCAACTCGGAATGCCAAACTTCCTCGAAGAATGGCAAGCCCATGTCCTCGACAATTTCGCGGTGGCCATGATCCTCTGCGAAGCGGCGCGCTGCATGGGACCTCACGTCCTGCCAGTTGAACTGCGGTCGGCATCGCACGCTAAAGCTTTCGCCTGTGATGACATCGATGGCTGAAAACTCAATAATTTGGCATCTTTCTTTCCACTCCTTACTTGTTCTGCATCCCAGACCGAACAAAGGTTAACCATTGGGACTATGTCATAGGGATATACAGAAACCCAAAACTGGATAAAGGTTACTTACTCCACTACTAAGATTCCCACTGGTTGGAAGTCTCGACGAGGCCACATGCCTGGTATGACCCTCTCGGGTTGTCATGTATGCACTCCATGTCGAAAACGACCACACCGGCATGGAGCTGCAGCTGCACGTCACGTGCCAAGGGGGCCTGTGCGGATGCCCCTGTGGCAGGTACGGGGTACGCGTGAGAAAACATAGGCGGGAGCGGCGGCACGAAGCATGCTTCGCGCCCAGCTCGGAGAAACATTTGCTGCATCGGCATTGCTTGCAGCATGCTGCACAGTTGTGTTCGCAACTGTTCCTGGGGCTTCTCGTCTCTGAACATCGAGTCTGACTCATTCCTGCGACTTCTCGACTTCTCTCTTTTTCTAGTTGAATGCGCTTGGGACTTGGCACATGATGGCACATGCTTGCTGCGGCAAGTCTGCTCAAATTGATACGTCGGTAAAGCTGAATGAGACGGGCCCGGCGACAGGTTTGGCTTGACTGAAGTGCCTTGTGCTGAGCTGCTGAATCTGAATCTGAGTCTGACAGGAGCTTCGGTTGTCGTGGGACTGCATCAAGAGTCACGAGATTCACAGAAGGTCTGAGACTTGAAACTCTCACACCCCGATGCCTCACAAGCAGGCTTGGCACCGCACCCAGAACATGCCTTGCAGGGCCTGACTCGACCAGGGTTTCGGTGCCCGAAAGACTTGCTAGAGTTCCTAGAGTTCCGGGCATGAAACTCCCTACAACCCCAATAGCACCACTATACAACCCTGCAAGAACCTGAGAACAAATTAAAACCTTAAAACACATCAGATGGCTTCTGGAACTTTTCAAGTCTTTTGGACGGTCGTCTAACAAGGGCTGGTCTGCAGCGCATGTCTTGTGTTGTGAAGGCCGCATGTTTGGGAGAGCTGTGCAATGGCTTGGACGCACGGTTTAGGGCCGTGAAGGATTCAGGGAGTTTAGAGAACGGGGGCAGGGACCAGCCACCTTGATGACTCCAACGCAACCACTCCGCCGCAGTCAACTCTGGATTTGAGCTCAACGTGTCGGGTCTGCAGGCTTTGAATCTTGTACCCGCGCCTCACCGATGCCGACAGCGAGGCTGTACAGCGGCGGGATGATCTTCACCTGAAAGAATCGTTTGAGCTTGCTTGCTTCGCGCTTCGTGCAGCCCTTTTAACTTTTGCATATCACTTCATCGCCAACAACAGGAGGAATTGTGGTGGCGCGTATGCATCGTCGTTAGCAACAACCATAGCAACGGAACGCGCAGGCCCTCATCCGAAGTCTGCAACCAAGCTCGTCAAAGATCTCGGCATTTTTCGCAACTGGTAATTTGGAGTAAGCTGGTTTAGCAACGCAGCACTTGTACAAAGAACTTGTGCCGGAGGTTCGCTCGCCTTCGGTGATCGAACTCCCTTGGCACTTAATTGGCGTTGCTTGGCCTCAAATGGGCCAAAAGATTCACACACAAAACCTCAAGCACAGAGGCTGAAGATCCAAGAGCCGATTGTTCAATTCTTATCAAGCTTCATATCTGAACTCAAGGGACCGTGCCAACTGTGCTGGATCTGGTTTGCCAGGAAAGGCCTTCTCAAAGAAGGGCTTCGCTGACGAGTCCCGAAGAACCAAAACTTATTGAATTGTGCAAAAGGTCCGGCCCAGTAGCCTCCCTATCTACGCTCATTGAATCCGAAACACCCTGCACGTCCTTGCTCTCCTAGGCGGCCTCCTTCCCCTCCAAATTCACAATGTCCGGCTTCGACATCGAGGCATCCTCCTCCTCGTCCTCACCTGGAAGGCCGTCCAGCTGCTTCAGTTCATCCTCGGTGAACATGAACCTCATGGCCTTGCGGATGATGGCCAGGGAGGCCATGAAGAACGGGAACACCACCGACGTTTCCTTGATAGCTTTCAACCCATACAGAATTCCAAGACAGATGACCTGGACGACGGTGTACAGGTGCACTCGGCTGATGGGCAGCTTCTGGATGTAGTGGTACTGTGGGTACTTCGCCGGGTCCCAGATGAGCCACAGCTTCAAGCGGTCGAAGAGGTTGTTGCCGGTCAGGCTCGCGATTCCCATGTAGAAGAACACGCCCTGCAGCACGGCCCGGGGAAGGAACTTCAGCACTGGTGCCAGGAAGAGTGCTGAGCCAATGAGCACGTGAATCCTTAGTTGCTGGGTTCATAGTTCGTAAGCCCAAACAAGTCAGGTGTAAATTCAGTTGTACAGATAGTGGATAATATAGGTGTAAAGCGTACTCATTCAGCTACTAAGGTTCAAGAAGTTGGTAGCACGCTGTTCCACCACCTTCGTAGGCACCTTGCGCTCTCCTTCCGGAAGCTGCTTCACCTCGTAAGTGGTCAACGAGATTACGTGGGTGATGCTCGGCACCGTGGAGGCCACGGACAGCGGCAGGCCCAGCACAGCACAGACAGGCAGCGTGAGCGCTCCCCGAACAAACCTGAGACCCTCTTAAGGAGGAAAAGACAAGAAGATGCTTGTTGTGGACCCCTTACTAAGATACTAGGAAACCCCAAGCCTAAAAGGCAAAAGGGACTCTAACTTCTCTGAAGCTGCAAGTCCAGGTGGTACGCAGCCGGCTTCTTCAGACCGTTGGAGGGTCTGTTCACGATCACACTGGTGAGATTCTGATCCAGGTAACCTAACACTGCGAAGCCAATCGCCTCGGTTGTGATTGAAGTGACGCTAGTTGCTTGAGGTGACGCTAGTTGCGAATATGTTCGCCTACAACCTTGTAGCCCCAATCTACAAGGGACCAGAAGCATGTCCTCTTATCAAGCCGCCGGAAGGATCGCATAAGCAATGCCCCAAGCTGGGAAGGGGCGGTCCATGCCGGCGGGATTAATGATCCACGGCCGCTTGCTGCCATCGGACAAGCTCAAGTTTGGCGAGAAGTCTGCGTCCACCTGCAACATCCTCAGGCCTGTGTCGTTGGAGTAAATGGCAGCCAAAGCGGAGCCACTCACCAAGGCGATGGTCACTGCGAAATTGGCCGCAAAGTTGCGAACGAATCGGAAAGTCCAGGGGCTTCGGCGGAAGCTGGACAAGTATGTTGCTAAGCCAAATGTCCAAAGGAACAAGAGGGCTTCAAACATGCAGTTCGTCAGCGTCAGCCTGCTTTCCGTAAAATTCTCGATGATTGGCCGGGCTCCGTCGATGATGAAGATCAGCGAAATTAATCCTAGACCGTTCAGCAACCCCAGTTACTTCTTCAGGTTGGTTAGTAAAATTGTAATCGAAACCCAGAATATCAAAAACAAACCTGCATCACTGCACAAGCTAGAATCCTGCGAAGATGTCTTCGCTGAACATCGTCACGTGCTTCATGAGCGCGCACAAATCGAAGACCGCAACCAGGACGGTGAAGAGGGAGCACCACATGCATGTCCAGAAATAAAACGGCATGAATTCCACGTCCACGGCAACTGCCAAGTCATAGACGACAAGCGTGTAGGCCAAGAACGGACCAGTAGCCCCAAGAATCGAAAGGGGTTGGCCGGAAAATGTTGAGAAGATCAAACCGCTGATACATGTGCTCATAATCATTTCCATCACTCCGAACTGGCCGTTCGTGCCGTCAAGGAACCGACTGCCGAAAGTAATCGCAGGGGCAAGGGCTGCGATGAACCTTACTGCCACGACTGGAAAATACCCAAAAATAAACGCTACACTTCCCAAATTGTAGCACTTTAGAAGAATTCACTAGCTTCAGACAAAGGTTTGCATATTGCCAGACGAAGGAACAGATACAAGATGGACGACACCGATTTCTGGAAGTTCTCCGGATTGAAGGCATCCGTCCAATCACTGCAATAAAGCGGCGCTCGCCTGCGGATATCGAGTCGCAGGCCCCCACCAAGCTTGCCAGTGAAGTCTAAAGGACCGTAATCCTTCTTGGGTGCATGTGCGATGTTTCCGGACTCGTAGCGGTACACAGCCTCGGCCTCCGCCATGGTATAGTTGGGGAGAGAGGAAGGGCAAACAGAGAAACCAAGGGATGAGCCCTGTGCCGAAAGACCTCGAGCCAAAGAGGCCAAGCGGCGACCCAAAGTTGTGAAGTTCAGCAAGACAAGGACTTGAAGGCTGTGTTTATCGTGGGTGGACAAAATCGTGCATGACCACAGGAAGAAGGGCATGACATGTTGACTGACTCACTCCCCTCACCCCTCTAATGTCAATGTTGACGATGCAGATACGTGACCATTCGCAAGCATGCCGCCATTAAGGGCGGTTTGACATCAATGCTAAGATTCAGGATTGGGCAGGGATGGACTATAATCAAAACTCGATGCAAGATTTTGTCCATCCACAGTATGGGACAAGAACAACAAGAAGCTTCCCGCTAATAGTGCGCGACACATTCATGGACACAGCGGCCTGCTACAATCTACGTTGCATATGGTCCCTATGTTGGGGGGCTTGCAAGATAGACCGCTGTACAGCACTGCTCCCATCCCCCAGGCTACGTGGCTGCAACATGAGATGTTCAGGATGAAGTCAGGTTTCGTGAGGCAGTTGGCGCTTGCACGTGAGGTTTGCGGCTGCAGGCACCACAGGCCCAACTGTGATTCTGACAATCCTGCCCCTGTCAAAGCTAAGCTTCACGCGATGCGAATGAGACGGGCAATGCGCAACCTAGGGCACTGGAGACAGGCCTCGCAACCTCGCCGGCAGAGCCTAGCTTACCAGACGCGCAGCAGGGCCCCGGCAAGCGGAGGAGCTGCATCACTTGGAGGATGGAGCTCTTGGAGCTCTTCTGGCCCGACAGCCTCCGGTCCGACGCGTGAGATCGAATCCAGAGCCCCGTTCCCTAAGCCCGTCAAAACCCGGAACCTACAGTACGGGTTCCCACTGGAATGGGAAACCTCCATGTCACCGACCCGAAGCCAAAAAAGCGACGCACGAGAACAACCTGCACACACAGCGTGGAAACCCCCAAACGACTGTAACCACATGTCCCCGAACACCAAGTCTAAGTCGCAGGCACACTAATCAACGGCATGACCTCGGCTCCGGATCGGATGTCCGTTGGGCTTGAGGCTAGGCAAATTAAATGTGTCTGGGTCTTAAGTTTGGGGCTTAGCGTAGGCTTAGGGCCTTGGGGAGGGTTTTGGACACGAACTTTGGCATGTAGAGAGTAACAGGAGTAAGAACGTCTGCACAGTAACTGGTGGTGTTGCATTGATGATGAAAGTAGCAGCAAAAGCACCAGCGATAGGCGGAGTAGGAGGACAAGGGGGCAAGGAGAAGGAGGAGGAGGAGGAGAAGGAGGCTGCTGCTGTTGCTGCTACTGTACCAGAACTAGCAAACTAGTACAGTAACTGTCGTCGTCTTCGTCGTGGTAGTCGTCGTCGTAGTAGAACACAAGTTGACTGACTACCGCATGATGATGTCTCGAGCTGAGCACAGTTCCCAGAGGTCCGTTGCTCCACAGAGAACGATGAAGAGGTCGAACAAGTTTCCCAAGCTGCCTGGCAAGCTTTGCTATTGTTTTTAGCTGTGGGGTGGCGCCTTCGGGGAAGCGGAATTTGGGATCAAGCTCGAGGGCCCAAAGCTGCTCAGCCGGCCGCTGAGGTTGGGGCTGAAGTAAGAGAGACCATAGCCTAAGCCAGCTGAGGAGCTCATGGAGACAGCATCTCGAGCTTCGGGCTTCGGGCCAGAAACCTCAGCGCGTTAACGGCTGTGTTGTGAGCTCCAGGCGGGCCATTCGGATCGCCTGCCTTGGGTGGAAGGCAGTCAAGCTCTCATGACGCCTGCCGCAGTCCGACACATCAGACTGAGGAGGTCGAAGGCGTGAACAGTCTAAAGAGTCTAAAGGAATTTGAGGTTCAGGGAGCGTGGGGAGTGAAGTTGGGGCCTATCAGGCCAAGTTGATGGTCACATATTCCAAATCACCGCAACTTTCACATCTGCGAATCCTCAACGTAGTTCAAACCATCTGACCGAGTCCACTCTCCTAAGTGCGGCTCTCTGCTCCGAAGATGATCAAGATCACGTGCTCGATGGGTGCCTGCGCAAGGGTGTGCTTTCCGTTGCAGGCGACCTCCACTGCAGCTGCTCTAGCTAGACTCTCCTGGATCAGCGCTTGCTAACTGAATCTTCAGGGATTCAGCATTGCAGCAGGTGCAGGTGGGAAATGAGGTGATGGGTGAAGCAACTAAGCAACCCCTTGGAAGAGCCGGCTGGGCGTACCCAGAGTCCCGATCGGATGTCGGACTCCAAGCCTTCGGGGCGAAAAACAGAAGACTCAAAGGCCCCCCAAAGTGGGACGTGTGGGGGCCAGGCCGAAGAGCACCGCATTGAGGACGATCACGGCCGCGACCACGGTCTGTGCCCACCTCTGCAGCACCACCCTTGGAACCCTTGGGGAACCCTTGGAACCCTCAAAGAGAGAGCCGAAGGAGCCCAGAGAGAGCCGGAGGTGAGAGCCGAGGTCTTCGCGTGTGCTCAATCCAAGCGTAGGGGCCGGAGCTCTCCTCCTGGTCGTCGAAGAGGAGCTCCGCCAGGTTCTTCTCCTCGTAAGTTCAGGCCCGCGCGCCACGGCTCAACTGCTGTTCACAGGAACTCGCGCGCAGCAGGCGTCGCCTCCGTCAACGTCTTCGGGATGTTCATCCTGGGCCAGGTCTTCATGTCAGACGAAGCCAGCGATCGACCCCAGTTCAGGCCAGGGCTTCGTGCTCGGAAAGAGCGGTAGATTCAGATCCTCGTGCTCCTGCAGATGGCTGCTGCCCCGATGCTTTCAGCGACCCACGGGCTTGGAGCTGGTCTCAGTCAGTGCCTCCTCGTGGTCGGCCTGGAACTCCCATCCCCGCCTGGGCTCCGAGCTAGCAGGGTTTGACGGACCATGCACATGCTGCAGCCGTTTCTCCGCATGAGCTCCATCACATCACCCCGCGTGATGGGACCAAGCTGAAACCCGAACAGCTACGAAGTGTGAAACAATGGCTGGGCCATGTGACACTGCTCTCTCGCAGTGTGCGCAGTGCGTTCTGCGAGTTCCGGTCGGAGGATCTCAAGAAACCGCAGGCGCCGCGATTCGGAGAGCTGCCGACCTTGCGAACTGGTCATGACTCGACAGGGAAGCGACAACAAAAACACAAGCAACGTGATTTGCGATGCCAGTAACACATATCGCGAGAATCACTAACACTACCCACCGCCAGCGCCGCAAGCATCACACACCACGACCCAGAACGCCATCACCAAGTACCCATTCACCAGCATCATCTTCATCATCACCATCAGAAATCATAACGATCATCACCATCATGGTTGTGCAGGCGAGGGGTAGCAACCATACGACTACCACTTACCAAACATCGCCACACTGCCTCAGCAGCCCAGGTCTGCCAGGCGAAGGCCCTGCGATACCCGTTGCTGCGCCTTCGAGGGTGAAAGCTCTTGCTGCCCAGGGCTGTTTGTTTTCGGGCCACTCCACTCTGCATGAGTATTCAGGGCCTTGGAAAGGCAGGATTTCGGCTGCTACGCATTAGCTTGCTCTGTGCCCGCTGAGCTACAGATGTGCGGCGGGCTGCTGTGTTGTAGCAGCTTTGTGTTTCTGGATCAGGGCTTCGCGGGTTGGCAAAGTTCCAAACTCCCGTATTTGCACTAGTACTAGTACAAGTGCTAGTACTTGGTGTGGTGGTGGTGGTGGTGGTGGTGGTGGTAGTAGTAGTAGTAGTAGCAGCAGCAGTAGGAACACTGGCAACAACAGCATCAAAAGCAATGTCGGCAGTCGGAAGGGAACAGAAGCTGTTGCCGTCGCCGTACATGCAACTGTTGCAGTGAACATCCCTTGGAGAATCAATCCCCCGACGGTTCCAGATCTCGAGGCCCGAAACTCTGCGTTCCCGGTGCATTCCCAGTGTTCTGCATGTTTTCTCCCTACTATATGCTCCCAGTCCTGCTATCTTTCACGACTGTTCTTTCTCTGCCATTACACTTCCTTGCAGGGCAGTACTATGTATTCTGCTGGTCTTTAAAATTCGAATTTTGTCTCTTCCTGCATGTCTATAAAACCTGATCGTGTTGCAGCTGTTCTTGAAATCACTATGGTCACTATTAGCATCGTGTTCTCGCTCTCCGACCTCTGATTGCTCGTCTTCATGTTCCCATCTGAGAATCTCCAAACCCGGCCTTGGACTCCGCCTCCTGAGCATCGGCCTTCCTGGGGACCACTTCCAAATAGTTACTATGAGTATGTATATGCATGTATGTACGTGTATACGCATATATATATATATATATACAGAATACAATGTAAAATGAGAGAAGCTGCATATACATTCACAGTATCACCTTACTCATTTGCTACGAAGTCTGGGATCCCAAGTCAATCCGATTGTCAGATTGCTACTCCTCCCACTGTCGCTGCTGTCTGATTATTGATACTCTTCTTTAATTACTGGCATTTTAAACCCCAAAACGTCATCCAAAGACCTACACCCCTGCAGCTGGAGCTCAGAGTGACAGTAGTCGGAAACTCATCACCAAGACAATAATAGCCAACGGCAACTCAACCATACTCTCAGCACAATTCACGCATCTTCCCGGTGGTAAGAACTGTAGTCACATGCATTCGCAAAAACTGGCATTGATAATCCTTACCTATCCTTCCAAGTGCATATTCAACACCATCAAGCTCGCAACGATACCGAACATAGCAATGGTTAGTAAAGATCTGCCCTAATCCCCAAACCACTATTAGACCCTTCCAAGCCCTCATGAACCCCATTGAATCCCACGAAACCCTGAAAGCCTAACCCCTGGAGCCTAGACCCTAAACTGAAACCCTTAAACCCTGAGCTAAACCCAGAACCCCCAAGCCCAAAGCCTTGAGCCCTAAACCCGGAACCCAAACCCCTAAGCCCGAACCCCTACGTACCCGAAACCCCAAACCCTATGAACCCCTAGACTAGACTTACACTCCAATATACTATAATATAGTCTAACCTATCCTAATCAGCTGCTTCGTCGTCGAGCTGCGCAGCCGCCTCCTGGAGCCTCAGCTCAAAAGAGAGAAAATCACCCCCTTTTTAGGGCTGAGGGTTTAGGGCTCCTAAGAAGGAGTTCGAAGGTTCAGGGTTTAGAATCTCCCTCTTTAGGCGCGCAGAAAGGATTTCTAAAAGGCTTTCAAGCTTAGGATTTACTATTTAGATAGGATTCTTTAAGGCTCCCAGCAAGGTTGAGGGTTTAGGATTTAGGATCCCTGTCTCAGGGCTCCCGAAGAATCTCCAAGGTTCAGGGTTTAGGAATTGGAATGAACTTCATCTTAAGGCTTCCAAACAGGAGCTTAAGAAAACTCCCATGTCTAAGTCGCGTACAACAGAAGCAGGGTCAGTGCGACTCGTAAAAGCAAACTCATGGTCCTCACCTTCACTCAAGGACCAATAGCTACAAGTGCTGTCTTGACATCTCTAGAAGTTCAACGTCGTTTATGCAAGACAAGATACCCCAAGCTCTTAAACGCTAACCCCCGAACCAATAAACTTTTAGACCCCCAACCCCCAACTTCCCAAACCCTAACCCCTGAACACCGTAGATCCCGAAACCCCTAGTAGGGCTCTGCCGGGCAGCCGTTTCATCTCCGCAGGCTGCCAGGCGTATGCCGCCTCCCCAGCAAGACATTGGAGAAGAGTCCCTTACAATAACCCCCTTCTGGTACCTGGCACCCCCTTTCTAGTAGGTCAATCCAGTACAAAGACGGATACTGAAGGGCAGGAGCGTCCAAGGCCCTGATAAGATAAGGACGCTCATGCCAATGCTGCATCCTTGCAGTCACGTCGTGCCCCTATAGTAACGCTCAAGAGGGCAGATCACGGGACCGGGGGCGGGCGCCTATGACACATCAACTGTAGCTTTGAAAGCTTCATATGTGTGATAGTGGAGTTGTCGTCTCAAAACCATATTACGGTAATTATGTGACTGATCTGTTGTCAGAACAGCTGTCACAACAGCGTGATACTTTTTCACTTCTAAACATATTACTCAGTTTGGCTATCATGTCTCATGTTCTAGTACAAGTGCTCCTGCTTATCTAGATCAACCGCTAAATATCACAAGTCCACGTCCAGAACTCTGGCATAAGGTCACCATTGGGAAAACCCTACATGCACCCCACAACATCTTGCAGCTTGCAGTAACAGAGAGTACTGGGCGATTTGCAGTGTGGTTCATAGTAGTAGTGGTAGTAGTAGTAGTAGTAGTAGCAGTAGTAGTAGTAGTAGTAGTAGTAGTAGTAGTAGTAGTAGTAGTAGTAGTAGTAGTACTAGTAGTAGTACTTGAGATCTCCGGAACTTCCTCGAGTCTGGGCCTCTGGAGCCACACCCAGCGGAGACAATGTGTCTTCTGCCTGGGGCACACTGCCAGAAGCTCTGCCGTTGTAACCCTCCAGCACTCAATAGATCCCATCCCATCTCAGCCACGCAACCGCATCGAAGGAAGCCACAAATTCTGAACCAAAGACTCTTGCAGGCAATTCACGCCGGAGAAGGCTGCGAAGGAGCTCAGGGGCAACCGCCGCCGCTGTGAATAGGTCTCCTTAGCCCACAGCTTCGTACTTGGAGCGAACGCTCGGGATTTCCCTGAGTTCATACTGAGTAGAAGGGGGAGGCAGGGGAAAAAAAAAGGCACGAAATCGATTGCAAAAAGATCTCCGCACAGCCCGACGCTTCGCAGTTATATCCCTGCACAGATGCGAAATCCAAATACACAAAGCAGGGCTTCCGTTCATCACCGCTTGGTGAGCGTACACAGATGAGACAGCCGACGAACGTTTGTGATATGTGAGGCTTCCTCTGCAGATACCACAAGTAGGAGTAGATAGTTCTTATGAGAAGATCCACGGACACATTTAATGATATACTTCGTTAATTTTAATAGAAACCACACACAGCACTGCCCTGCAAAAAAAGCTCAGGATGTGCGACACCACGTCGCCAGCTGGTGCCCAGCACTCTCTGCAGTATGACGAGAGAGATGTCAGCGCCACAAAACAACATCCGTAACCGCAAGCCCCAAACACTGAGCCGACCCTACATTCAACGTGCTGCCAGGCCGCTGAGAGCCAACTCGGCTGCACGAAGATGCTGCGCAGCTCGGGCGTCCAGTTCTCTATGCACCCTTCCAGAGACCCTTGCCTGGCCTCGTCCTTCTCCTGAGCGCTTTTGAGGATTTGAAGCTTCTAGGAAAAAACCCTGTCTGCGGGGAATGTCCAGCAAGAGGAAACCCGATTTCCACGGCTCCCCCCGGCAATCCAATGCAGCTGAGAGGCCACTACCACCGCCCGGGTTTGGCCCTCGGAGGACGCCTGGTGCAGGTCGTTCTGGCAGTTTCGGCAAAAAAGGGCATCTTCGCTTCGGTACGGCGGACAACGACCCTGGCGCACCCCACCGAGACAGCTCTGACTGCGTCACATCAACTTGTTTAGGCAGCCTTGGATGCCTTGACCGCACACTGAGACCCGAAACCTGGAGCAGGGACCGCAGCTCTGCGGGCGTTCTCCAGGTCCGCACCGAGGTGGCCCCCAGCTCCTGACATCCGAGCAACTCGAGATTGCTCGAGGCTCGGCGGGATTTGGGTGTCCACGATGCTTGACTTTGCGTGGCTTTGTGGCTGCTGGGCATCACAAAGGCTCATTGAAGCTTATTTCGTTTTCAAGCTTGGATAGGCTCTTATTCGTGCAGCAACCGTCAGAAACGGGCCTTGGCCATCTGCGTGAGCTTCGGCTCCACGCCTGGAAGCTGCAGACGCGGGGGCGATTCAAGCGGAAGGGACGGCCGAGGTGTTGACAACAGTGGACATCACCCTCCAACATGAAATCTTCAGAGTACCCCGCCTAGGGCCCAGGGAGACACCAGAATGTCGCACTTGGCGAGGACGGTGGCAGCGACACCTGGTCTGCTCGGTAGGGGCTTGCATTCTCGCCCCTCCGGCGCTTTGGAGGAGCTCAGTATCTCGGGTCGGGTTTGGGCTGGCGACACTTTTACTAAGGCTTCGGGCACCCTGACCGCTTTTTGCAAGGGACGCTTCACCGGATTCCACCCCCCTTCAAGGAATATCCTCATCATTGCCCTTCCCTGGAGGAATATGCCGTGCGAACTGCAGGACCGCACGACCCGCGACCCGAGGCAGAGTTCAAGTTCTAACCCCCCCTGCATCCTACTTTTCGATCCTCCGATCCGCTGAATAGCCCTACGACATTTTCTGATAGGCACCCTTCTTCCTTGATTATTAAACTTAAATCCTATACCCTGCAATGCCTCAGCCCTCACAACCCCCAGGCCCCTAAGCCCCTTAAGGAAGCCCAAGGAGCAGGGGCTCGCCTTTGTAACCGCATCTTCCAGCAAGGGCGCAGCACTTTGTGTGGGCACCGGCGCGGCGTCTCCTGGGCTTCTTCGGGTTAAGGCGGTTTAGGGTTAAGGGGCCATAACCATGCAGGTTTACATAAGGTACTGCACGGCTGGCCATACGGGCAACTGTAGCGATCACTACGGTTCAGGGTTTCACGGCGTAAGAGAACCAGAGTGTGGGCTTTGAGGGTGCAGGGAGGGTGGACTTGCAGGGTAAGAAAGCTTGGGATGTCGAAAATCCCAGAGCTGGCTTGCGACGAGGCGCTCACGCTGTACCGTGCTTCTGGCTGTCGGCTGCCGTGCCGATTGCAGTCTAGCAACCAGTGCACGGCCACCTGAAAGCCATGGAAGACAATGTAATTTCAGAAAGAAATCTACACGGTCGCTCCCAGAATTCACCATGTTCACCGTCTGGACAACTCTGCTTCCTCACGTCTCGCACAGATATCTCTATACACTCGCAGGAACCACGACTCGGGAGCATCAGATCCCTGGCCAAACTCCGCACTTGGTGAAGTCTGGAAACTATGTGGATCTGCCGCTTTCGAGCTTTCTCTGCCAGGCCAGCTTCCAAGCGATCCGGAACCACACCTTGGGAGCAGGAGAATTACTTCACCCGGCCACATGTAAGAGGTGCTGGTAGGCTATGTCCAACTTGGCTCGGCATACCGTGTGTTTGTGCGTGTCCGTGCGTCCTTTTCCTGGAACCTTGGTTGCTCTACCGAAACTAAACCTTAAACTTCTAACTCCTAAGCTGACCCTGAAACCTACTGACCTATGGTCATTGCAACCGTCTTCCAACTGCACTGGAACCAACTCATCTACAGCTACACTTGTAGGCTGCAGGTGGGCGTGGTCACCTGCTGCACAAAAACCTGAAGCCTTACAAATAAGGACCCCTAGGTGTATACCCTTAATATAGCTATTATATACCCATTATATAGCCCCATTATAGGGTAGGGTCCCCATTAAAGTGTTTAACGGTTTAACATCAGCTTTGACCCCCTCCTGTTCTCCAGCCTTCGGCTGTAGGGTCTGGGATTGCAGGGTCTGAGGTCGGAGACCGACGCGAAATGAAAGTCTATGGAGCTTCCAGTGGTCCTTCCGTGGAGATATCAGCTCAAAGCTTCGGATGGGGGCTCACCCTGAGAGGTGGTTCACTTGCCAACCGCGGAACCACCTCTAGATATCTAAAGCCAGCCATCGCTTGTGGAGAACTGCGCTGACCAAAACCACTATGGTGGCCCGGGAAGGGCAGGATCTCGAGGACGAGACCCGAGTGTGGGGTTTCGGCTCTGCCCTACCTCGCAAAGGAGCTTCTGGTTGGGTTGCCTTTCTTGAAGAATGCTTGCAATGCTGGTCTTGAAAGTTTCGGCTTTGGCAGCAAAGCTCAGGCGACTGGAGCAGGGAGCAACGGAAGATGCAGCCAGGTGACAAACGAAGTGCGTGATGTCCCCGAGACGGCTCCGTTGGTCCGCAACAGTGGCGCCCAGGCTGTGTGCCATCTCCTGTAGGCGTTGAGCTGCTATATCCCTCAAGGGGAGTGGGGGATGTTTTGAACCTGAACCTCTCGATCAAGCTCAAGCCGCACATGCTGTCTCCGTGCCGCGGGCGACACAACTTGTGGAACCAAGTCCGCGAAGCACTAGTACATGAGCACTCGGGAACCCTGCTTGCTGTCTTATCTTGCCCTGCCTGAAGGCGCTGCCGTTCCCGGCAGCTCTGCTTGGAGTCGTCCAATGCCGTGATGCGGACGGTGAGGCCAGACCTGAGGGCTCAGGGCTCGCCACACTGCTCCGGCTACGATAAATCACAGCTACCTGCGACTGTGGCATCAGCATCTTCAGCGTTGCTGCTCTTCTCTTAGTTGCAGTAGGAATGATACGCTATCCATCTGCCTGATTACCGACCTACCCAAACACCCAGCTGCCTGCCTCTCTGTTTTTTTGTTATCTCTTCTTTGAGAGTCCGAGCGACAGTGGAGGCTTTTGCCCACTTCTGAGCTCCGGCTTCCCGGCGGCAGCCTTCTGCCGTTGCAAGAGCCCGCTCCCCCAGGCGTGCTTCAGGACAAGAGATGATAATGTAGGGGCCTACGTACTGTAATTACCTACACCATCCCTTTGTAAGTATAGTATAATTGGACCCAAACCCCTATTGAAAATTATTAAGGCCCCTATATTCGTAGGTTTCAGGGTTTCGGCCTTTAGGGTCAGAGACCTGGAGGGTTGAACCGTCAGGGAGCCTTGGCGATTGACATCATTTCAGCAGATTCTCAGAAGCAATCCTTCGCGGACATTAAGTGACCAGTGCGACGCAGCTAAGGCAAGTTGTAGTGTGAAATGGCGCGCAACTCCATAAGTGCGAAACTCATGCACAGAGAGACAATGGTCAGCCGCCCTGAGCATGGCTCCTTGAACAAAGACGTCCGACACACCTGGAGCCTCAACTGCTCAAGTCCATTACCGAGGATGCCTCGACCAGCTGGGTGCTCTTCGTGGTAACTTCCTCGAGGGCAGCGCTGCTCTCGACTCTCCGTACCTGGCATGGAGAAAGGGAGGATCGTCTCAGCCAGGTGAACCAAAGAAAGGCCTTCATGGTCGGGGTGGACAAGTCCGACTGGAGCGCAGCAGGGTAGGCGACATCGCAGGTCGGGTTGTAGGCCACCCGTGGCCTCGGGCACTCGCAAGGAAACTCTGCGCCGGGACGACAGCGGACAGCCGGAGCTGGGAACCGCGGCCTTGCGAAATTGTTCTCCTCGGCTCTCTTCCCGGTTGCCACGCATTCATCCAGCCAGCGGACGTCCACAAACTCCACTCCCAACGCCTGAAGGGAGCTGAGGACGGTGAAACGTCACTTCTGCATGGCCCCGTCTATATCTTACGAAAGCTGTATAACACTGCTGGACAGGAGGCTGCATGTCCCCGACCTCATCGATCGGCATCGACACATGGACCAGGACGCGAGGGACAACATCGAATAGAACCTCAGGTCAGACGTGCCAGGTTTACGGTCCAAGTGCTCACCATCTCTCATAGCAAACTGCCGAACCGTCTGCAGTCTTTCGGAGCATGTGCAGAGACATAACACAAACCGCTCACCCTGAAACGCCAGGAGGCATGGGTGATGGACGGGTCCTTGGCTTCCAAGGTGGTCCTGCAGCGGCAGGACAACTCATTGCAGGCGCACATCTATCGGGTTATCGCTGATCAGAACTGCAATCTGCTGTGGCATAGATCCGATCTAAGGTGAACTCGATGAAGGCACCCATGACCCCGAACCCCGGATGCTTCACTCGAAGCTTTCCCACACGCTGTCCAGGCCCCACAACGCCAAGCCCTTTCGGCTGCATCATCACGCTCCTTCCCTGCGGGTTTGGGGTTCTGGGTTTCGGGTTTAGGGTTTGGGGGTTACGGGTTTAGGGGCTCGCAGACTTGACTGTTTCTGTCTAGGGCCAGAAGCTGCCAATCGTGGATCCAACCGGAAGTTTCACTGGGACACGTCAAAGTTGAAAAACAATGCACTAGCAAGCACAGGTTATGATGGCAAATGCCAGCTTCCAGGAACATCAGTTTGTAGCGTCTCGTAGCTAGCACTTTGTTACATGATGGTTGGCCGACTGGCAGCGGATGAATAAACTGGAGCCCCAAGCATACGTACCCATGTGCTTCCTGTGGTCTGTGTTAGTGTAGATGTCGCAAGGACCGACTGTTGCAAATCAGACAGTGCGTACCCACATCCCAGTGGCCTGGGGGCAGATACCTGAGTTGACAGCGCCGTATGGCTGCGGCCGGAAGAATGGACCACCAAACACTGATCGTCGCAGACTTCGCCCGCACTTGGGCCGACAAAAATCGAAGGAACCGCAGGCTCTTGAAAGTGTCACTTCCGGCAAAGCAGATCCGAGAGGAGTCGCTGCCAAGTCGCACCAAACACAGTACACAGCCGTGCAAGATGTTCGAGACTTCTGCCTGCAGAGAAAAACAAAACTCTAGCACTCTAGCCAGCACACCAAGTATACAACGTCAGTTTTTAGTAGCAGCATAATTGTGGTGAAGATGATTGCGATGGTGGCACATGTCGATGTTGCCTGTTCAAAGATTTTCGCACATGTCGCGCCTAATCAACAAAAGCTAGGGGAGTCAGACGGACGGTTGCTGGTGCAAGTAACAGCTCTACCATACGGTTACCCTACGTGCATTGCGTGTGTGCATTTGTACAGGTCTTTATAAGCATGTCTCAGTTCATGGTAACATCAATTTACATGGCAATTTACTGTACTTTCAAACCCAACCTGATCGATGCAAACTCAGACATACTTGTACAGACACGTTTATGCGCATACAAACCTTTGTATATGCAATACCTCATTATGCACTCATGCACTGCGTCCTGATCCGTTGCTCTCGACCCTGAATTCCAAAAGAAACGCGAGCTGAAACTCCCACGCTGCCTCGACGCTCCCGCCTAAAGGGACGCCAGCCTGGGGTACCTTGCAGAGACAAGAACCGAGAAGGGACCAGGTGCAGGTACCGCTGCCCCGGCGGCAGTGGAGACAGCTAGCCGCCACAGCAAAAAGTAACCATCACGAACGATGTTATTGAGAATGACCGTAGCAAGCGAAGAATGCAGTACAGCTTCTAAGAAACGGAGACAAGGACTCTCCCATTCCCTTTTTGGGTCAGAAACGCATTCGTCGCCGTCGTTGTTATCATTTGTCGTCGTCTCGTCTTCCTCGTCGTACAGGATCTGTGCCCTCTCCCACCAAACCCCCGGGCTCACGAAGTCCCAAATCCCTCAGCCCTCCTTCCCACCCAGAAATCCTAAGTAACATCCCGAAACCGAACGCAAAAAAACCCAGCGATGCCCACGCAAAAACCGAACTGAGCGCCTCCAGCTCCCCGGCGATGGTCAGGCAGCAGCGGATCTGAAGGCAGCGCTCGAGCCAGAGCGGGGGGGCACACAGGAGGCCCAGGGACCGGCCCTCCTCGGAAAGCTGTGGAAATATATGGGTTCTCTAGGGTTCAGGGAGTTTAGGGCTTAGGGCGTTCAGGGCGTGTGGGGAGTTTAGGGTTACGGTTTCGAATAGCTTTGAAGACTTGAAGGGCGAGTTTAAGGGTTTTTTAAGGGGGCACTGCTTTCGGGTTTCAGGGTTTCAGGCAGAAGGCTTTGAGGGGGTCTTTAGCTGGTCTGGTAAAGGCTTGAGGTGTCCATAAGTTTCTGCGGTTCAGGGTTTAGGGAATCAGATGGCAGGGCAGCGGCGATGAGAATCTCAGTTTTGGGGTCAGCGCACTTGCAGATTCAGGTTTGGCTTCTTGGCTGGGGTCAGAGCTTGAAGGCAATGGGATCAGAGGCAGGGGATTTCCAAGGCGCTTTAATGTCACACTTCTCTTCACGATCCCGGCTACGCACCCTCGGTCTTGCCCCAACTCTGCGGGGCCTGGTAAATTGGCTTGGAGGCATCTGTCACGATGACTACCTCCGCCTTGTCTAAGGTGGTGATGACAGCCTGGGTTGCAGCTCATCGTTCGATCACACCCCGGCCTCCGTGTCAATAGCTTCCCAACAATGCGATTTGGAGCCCCTGTTGCTAAGGCTGTCTTATAAAATGCACCGGCCCTTGTAGGTTGCCCAAAGGAAAGGCATGTGAAAAACGATGCTAAACCCTCCTGTGAATATGAACATAATACCTGTATATGTATATATGTATGTATATATGTATGTGTATATACATATATATATATATATACATATATATTTATATTATATCTATGAAACCTTATGAATGGTAAACGAACTGAGTGAAAGACTCGTGCTTGAGATTCCGAGCCACACCGGAGGCTTCGGCCCGCTTCCGGAGCTCCGGCGAAACCTGGTCCTGTCTGCGGGTCACGGTTCGGATTGCCTCATCATGCGTTTGGTGATGACCATGACGAAAAAAGTAACAACGGAAGATGGTGATGATGGCTATGGGAGGAGGAGGAGGCGGAGCAAGAAGAAGAGAGTTGGGGATGCTTGTAGCGCTGGCGGCGATGGTGGCGACGGTGCTGGTGATACCAACCCCAGCTGCCCTCCCGAGCCTGGATGGGCCCAAAGTTGATAGCCAATCCGGCCAAGGGCGGCAGGAAATGTGGCCTCGGGCAGGCCACATGGAGCAGGTGCATGGACTGCTCCAAACCCGAGAAGCTCAGCGACAGGTTCGCCGACAGCTTTGCCTGGTGACTTATTTCATCTTGTCAATTTCTGATGTCCCAACGGTGCAACACCCGCCCGAACCCGTCGAGAAGACCGGAGACAGCTGTCACAGAGTGGTTCCTGAATGCGATCATAGCAGCTCTTTGTCCACCAGTTGCTGCTCGTCCCACAATGCCTTGACATAGGTCGGCCTGCGGCGCAACCAGGAGGCTTCGGAAGGCCGATCGTCTTCTCAAACAGTAACAAAGATCGCAGGCCCGAACTTCCGAAGACGCCTCAACATCCCAATGCGTAATCCTCGTCACCCGGAAAATGCTCGAAGCCAGCCTCACGATGGGCAGTCGCAAGGCCAGCGCTGCTTGGTACTTGGAGTCTGGCCGCAAGCTCACCTGGCACCGGCTGGGTTGAACGAGGTTTCCTGGGCAAGCAGCGACTTGTCCGATCTACGCCATCAGATATTGAACCCATTTGGCCTGAAATTGCGATGCAAAACCTGGAGCCCTCGCACAAGGATGCTTTGTTGCAAAACACGAACCTTTGCCAACAACCTTACGACAAGGGCCAAGAATCTTGACTAAACGGTTGTGGGCAATTTCAACCATTTGCTGAAAGCTTAAACCCAGCTTAAACCCTACTAAACCCCAGAACCCTCAGAGCGCCTTCCGCGCAACCAAGAGCTCCGTGTCCGGTCCGATGTCTTCGGTTACCCGGGCGCCGACCCAGGTGGCGAAGGCCTATCAGTTGGGCTCAGCGTTCGGATTTAGGACTCAGGACTGCAAGGGTGGCGGATCAGAAGGTTCAACTTCCTTCCCCTCTTCCTATCAATGCTTCAGGACAGCTATCTGCACGTTGCGCTCCCACGCGCTCCCCATCTGCGTACCTTGCAAGTCGACATAGGAACAAACTTTTCGAACTCCATGTGCTGCATGTGCTGCTTGCATTCTGCTTGCTGGATCTTTACCCATGAGATAAACTGTGCGCGTGTTGTCTTTATCTGTCCGTGGTCCTTGTGGTCTTTTCGGAAGACGGGTTGCCAAATAAAATGAATTTGCTCAGCATTGAGGCTACGAATCTTGCCTCTTGCGACATAATCATCAATTCTGAATACACCCATAGCAGCACATGCAGTGCATAAATGTACGATCCTGAAGAGGAAAGGGAGAGAGTGAGAGAGGCTGAGAAAGGGACACAGCAAGTGAGTGCTAGGAAGACTTATGTACATATACATATACGTATGTGTATGTGCATATCGCTGCATATCATGTATATTACACGCATGCATCATGCTCCTTTCGCGGCAGTTGTTCCAAGTCGGGGCCGACAAGAACGAAGAGGAACAGCTTCCACGTCCGAACCCAAGGCTCCCCTTCCGCTCTGACCGGACCCAGAAGAACTCCCAAACCCTGCGTGTGGTGCTAGGGCCTGGTGGCGAGATCGATCCTCGGGATTCATTGCCTGGGGGGCATGAAGTTCGGAGCCAGTTTGCAAGTTTGCGAGAACAGGCAGGGATGATGCAAGCAGAGTTCGAAGCAATGATGATCACGACGTTCTGCCACTGGCAACAATAATGGCGGTAGAACATGCACAAGATTTCCATAATGATTGTGGCCATTCTGACAGTTATGTAGCCCTGTCTATGCATTGTATCCTACGAACGGCCGCTGTCTTGGTGTCACAACCGGCTTACCGGCTTACCCGTCCTTCATTGCGACATGAGTCCACTGCTTGTACGAGCGATACAGAACTTCCTTCTTGAGGTGACTACACTGGGGAATCAAGAGAAGGTAGACTCACACTGCCTAGGCGGGCCAAACTGTACCAAACAGCCCACGAGATGAGGAGGCTCGGCCGGAACACGGCACGATTGCTTTTGACAGCCCAAGTAGCTGAAAAGCAGAGCCCCTTCTCAGACCTGTAGAGTAGGTCGAAGAGAGGCAGCTCCATGACCTACCGCAGCTGCGGGCGACACAGGTATGGCTTCTGTCATTCGAGCAGTACACATCCGGCCTTTTCCATCAAGCTCCGCTCCTTCAAGAACCGCTCTACCTTCACAACGTCACTTTCAGTATGTGCAGAACCGCTCTGTTGAAGTAGGTGTTCGAGACCCGGGCCAAAGGCAGGCCAACCACCCGCTTGCCACGCTTCTGGAGTGCGGAAAGTTCCTGATGCGGCATCTCCCTAATTGAAGACAGCAGCACGAGCGGCTTTGCTTCCAGAAGGCACCTCGAACTCGAAGCTTGGGAGCACGAGAAGAGCACCGTCCTGCGCTGCTGCACGCAAAGACGATGTCCCGAGCTGAACCCCAGAACAAATCTATCTCCGGATCCTCAACACCAGATCTAGGAAAAAGAAAACAGCTCGCAGCGCATCAACAAACAAGTACAGCTCCCACCCAAAACCCGGTAAGGAAAAGCCCCGCGCCAGCGGCCTCCGAGTCCACGAGGCGGAGCTGCGGCCGGGGGCACAGGGCTTCAGACGGGGCGTTGCTTTGCTCTCTCGGGCTCTTGGGGGTGAGGACGGTAAGAGAGGGCTAAGAGGGCTTGTAGCGAGGCTTGCAGCCCGATCTCTCGCAACCCGAAGCCCGAGATATGCATCGGATATGAATCTGATAACTCAAAAAAGGCAGGCAGGGAGCAAAAGTGTCAGACCTTGGGATCGGCTCTCAGACGCTCGGCCAGCAGGGCGGCGCGGTCGCTGGGGATCCGAGGGCTCAGATGAAGGTTCAGGGGCTCCCAAGGCCTCGGCAACCGTGGTGGTGGTGCTTGTCGTGGTAGTAGTAGTAGTGGTAGTGGTAGTGGTAGTAGTAGTAGTAGTAGTAGTAGTAGTAGTAGTAGTAGCAGTAGTAGCAGTAGCAGCAGTAGCAGTAGCAGTAGCAGTAGCAGTAGCAGTAGCAGTAGCAGTAGGAGTAGGAGTAGTAGTAGTAGTAGTAGTAGTAGTAGTAGTAGTAGTAGTAGTGGTAGAGTAGTAATAGTACTAGTCGTCGTCGTCACCTAGCGACAGAAACTTAGTTGTGGTGGTACAAGTAGCAGTCTTTTGGATGAACGGCTTGACTTTGAATTCGGAGGCTCGCCAAAAGAGAGACTGGGAGGGTGCTGCGAGTATTTGGAACAGGGTTTTGGGATATGCAGACGATATTTGTAGTAGCCACGATCATGGGTTTCGGGGTACTGGTACATACAGAAACTGTATGGGGAAGAACGGATGCGCTCTACAGACATGTGCTAACAATCCTGACAAAAACGAGGAGAACAAGAACATGAGCAAGATCACCACGAATAGACATTTCACACTAACATCTCCACCTTGACAAGGATTGCAAGGCTAGGAGCAAGAGCCGACTTTGAAGCAGAAAAGCTGGGGAAACGCCGGGAATGGTTTACAAAAAAACTCACTGCCGTGGAGGAGAGACGATGCCCGAAGCCCCCACCCCGAAGTGCTGCCCTGGCAGCTGCAGCACGTTGGGAGTGGCTTTCGAGCGCTTCGCCGGCTCCACGGCGCAGAGCGCCATCGACGGGTTGCGCTTCAGCGCCATGGCGGCAGAGCGGTTTTCGGAAAAGTGTCGATTCAGGGGGTTGCGGGCTGCGGGGCTGCGGGGGTTTGCGTCAGAAATCCGGTTGTCTGCGCCGTGTTTGCTGAAACTGTTCCAAGCCTCTACTTTTGTTCGTCTGAGTTCACCGACCGTTGTTGAGCACTTCGTTCTTTGCGGTGCTAAAGCCTGTGACTAAGCCGCAACGGCTGTGTCGAGAGAGAGACTGCGAGGTGAAGGCTTTTACGGACTGCAGGCTAGAAGCTAGAATACTTAGAAAAGAGTTTATCATCTCGCCGCACGCGTCGTTCCTGGACTAAGACACTAAGACAAGTGCTCAGATCAGAGCCTGGAGCATGTCCGTAACGAATGGGTCGCATCGGCAAAATGCTGAGGCTGCGGCTGTCGGGAACTGAGAACTTCCTTGAGCGGCGGCTACACCGACCCATTGAGAAAGTATGCATTTACACTCTGGTGGAACTAGCTGACAGATGCAACGAAGAGCAAGACAGAAAGAAGCTGCACATCACTCCAGTTGCTCTAGCAGATAGCCGGAACAATGCCACTTTGCTCTCGCCTGGAGAAGTGCGAGCTCTTCCGCATGAGGCGAGTCCTTTTGCAGGGCTTCAGGAAGGGCCAAGACTGGTACCTTCACTCCCTTGGGCTATGCTTGGAGGCATGTGTCTGAGAACCACCGACTTAAGTCTGCCTTGAGCGGTTCCTCCTTGAAGGGTGCTTTGTGGAGGAGTTACAGTAAGCCATCTGCTTTTATATGGACAGCCAGTGGTGCAGCAATGCGGAACAAGTGGCTGCACAGTTCTGCGAAAAAAAACATTTGTGGCCTCGCTGGCTGCTTTAACCATGATTTGGGCCGTCGCTTGTCCAAGTCGTCCCGTAAACTCAAACCCGAAACCGACTCCCAGTCCTGCACCTGCTGCATCCTTTCAAAGTCGGGCACCAACTACCATCATCAGGTCTAAGGCTTGAGTAGGGTTTCCGGGATCTTTGGAAGTCATCCCTCTTTGCAGCTGACTCGGAACAGCCCTTTAAAGGCTCAAAGCAAGCCGCAAAACTTCTGAAAACAGACGCCATGTTCTGGCCCTTAAGCCTGCACGAACCCTTGCGACACTGAGCTAAACCGGATCGCTCCTTGCCGCCCCATTGCACCATGCCCCAGCCTTGACGGCCTCGACCCATCAAAGTTCAGGGAGGCTTCAAGGCTCACACGGCGGAGGGGGAGGATCTCCGGGGCATCTTAAGCTGGGTCCTTGGGCTTCTCCACAGAAGCAGAATAGCAGTTCATCGTCCGTCGCAAGCATATATTCTACGAAGAATTTCCTTGCCTGGCCTCGAGCAGTGCTGTGCCACTGTCAAATTTCTTTTGTGCACAAGAGCGAGATCGTGTATGTGTCTGGAGACGGTCGGATCGCAGGTCTTTTGGACCTACTCCATAGCCTGGCACGGGACAGGATACGGATATGGGCCTCCGAAGCGGCTCCGTGGCGTTTAAACTCACCACCTTTGCACCGAGTCCTGCTGGGAGGAGCATGGCAGCACATCGTAGCGCTGTCCACCACACGCCACGCAGAGCTCGAAAATAACTTACTTGCTGTGCTGAGACCAAACGTGTCATGAAAAGCTCATGTCATGACACTACGAGGAACAGACGAATTCTTACTTCAGCATCTGCACAAACGCACGCGGCTGGTTACCAGCGTGTGCTGAAGTTGTAAAGACTTACGACACTTCAATCGGCCAACATGGTTGAAGTATTTCATGCTTGAGGGCGCGCTCGCCCACAGCCAAGGGCACTGAGCGTACATGTGCTTTGCCAAGTCAAGCTTCTTGGCCACAAGTTTGCAAGCGCAGCGATTGCAGCTTCGATACTGTACATGCTATCTATGGCTACTGTGGCTATTGGCTCATCTCAGCTCATGCATCCTTCAAGTTGGACCGGCTGGCAGAGCGGCGATTCACATCCTGAAGGGGAAACAGAACTTGTGGTGGTCCTTCTGAGGCACTTCAGTCACACACACACACACACAAACAAACAAACACAGCCCTAACGGTTCTGAAGCATCAGACCCTAAAGCCCCAAACCCTCGACCCCAGCCTGGAGCATGCCATTCGTCCGTTCTGCGAGGAATTCTGCCAGGCGGGCGCTGAGGCGCTGCACGGCCTGCTCTGTAGCGCACAGCTTTGTACTCCACTGCTGCTTGTTAGATACTTTGACTGAGCCAACTAAAAAACGGCATCACGGGTGCTGCACTATTGTGGTCATTACTTTCGTCGTCTATCGGTGTACAAACGTGCACTCTTATGCCACAGTGTTATGCTCTTACCTCGGCTATATTGAGATGTGATATCATATCAGACGGTCTCGCTATCTTGCTACGTTCGCACACTGTTGATACTGTAACAGCACCATGTTTTGAAACACTTGAGATGGTTGAAAACCTGCTGTACCAAAAAGCATGATACTGCCTCATAAAAAGCCAGTACACTATATCATTATAAAACTATCAATGACTATTAGCGGTATTACTCCTATCTCGCATCATGCTTATCTTGTCGAGCTTTGCTCCCCTTCTCTACTAAACTATGACATAGTTGCTGTTACAAGAGTAGGACACTAGCCTACTAGTAAGTGCGCGTGGTGTATGTCGTGCTGTATGTTTTGGGTTAAAAACTCGAGTGTCAAGCTGCTTCAGGATTTTGCGGATTCCGGAAGCTGAGTCTTTCGTGGACATGGTGGAGGTGTTGAAGGGATGCCGTTTTGGAGTGGCCGCCGAGGCTTCAGGTTCCTACGGCTCCTATGCTCATTGGTAGTAGGACGGCGTGAAACTGGCTCGGTTTCGCAGCTGAACCTTTGCGTCCTTGGCCTTCATGAAGCCGTCAGGACCAAGGATTTGCAGGGTTTTGGAGTTTCGGCTTCAGGCTTGATGTGTTAGGCCTGAACCGGGGGCTATGAACCCCCACCCCATCCTCCCACGAAGAAAACTCGCGAAATTGGGCACTTCATGACCCGGTTGGAGAAGCAGAAGCCCGTGAACCAAACACTCTGGAAGACGCCATCAGAAATCGAGAAGCAGAACCGGGTTTGGCTCCAGAGCTAAGTGGGGAAAGCGTATGGAGCTGCAGGGCCAAACACCTTTCAGGACGCGTAAGAACCCTTCACTAAACTACCCTGAGCACCATGCCCAAGGCTACTTCAAATTATATGAACAGGTCTCTCGTACATCCATTTAATAAAGCATTCCTAGGTCGCATGCTCGTTTTACCGTTGAGTTAGCCAACCCGGGTACGCTACTATGTCGCTTGATGTCTTATCAACACGGTTTGGAGATTCGAGACTACTACGTGCATGTTGGTGTACTGCTGTCACTCTAACCACTTGAGTACAGTGTGCTCTACTACCACGATACTTCTGCATCACCATCAGCTTATCACATGTTCCTGTATTTTCAGCGGTCTGATGTTACCATGTTTTTTGTGCTTGCTACTCTTTGCTCTACTGGCCTGATATTGTACATCTCATACCTATCCTTACCGTTTCTTTGTCATCGTTTCCATAATGCGACTGTAAGGTTACCTTCTTGTCGTTCGACGCACCGCTATATCGCAGTCTTCCTATGACTACCTGTTTTGCTCTGGTGTGCTTAAGAAGCGCAGCACTCAAGCCTTGTTCTTCACAAAGCCTTCATTCAGCAGATGGGCAACCAGCATGACAATCATCAAGTAGATCGGAAAGAAAGGCTTCGGCATCACACGACCCCAGAGCTTTGTGGCCACGGTCTTTTTGTAGAACCTTGGCAGCAGCTGCACCCAAGTCTTGACAGCCCTCAGCAGATACATGTAGCCTAAACCCCAAACCCTGAAAAGTCCAAAACCCATCATAACCAACCCTGTTTCAGCGGTCGCAGCCCCGAAAGCAACCCTATCGAAACCCTTGGCATACCAAGGCCAGGCGCAGCTGTCCAAGGGGACCATGCACGATAAACATGGGGAAGGCGAGCGAGCCGAGCCAGGACATCGTGCTGGCACGTTCGGGCTTTTGTGGCTTAGTGGCTGAACGGGTTCCAGGTTAAGGCTAAGGGTTTAGGGTCATAATACAAATGTTGTAAGTTGTAAGAATCTTGAAGGTAGGGTTCAGGATTTAGGGCCTTGAGGTTTTTCGAGGAGTGCTGTTGGGTTTGAGGTCTTGAATCCGGGCCACACTGCTTGACATCCCAGGACTTTTAATCAAGACCCCACACACGCGACGCACCGGCCGGCCTGGAGCCGAAGAAGCGTGTGAGGGCATGGGGCTGCCCACTCACGCAGTCCCTGCGCAGGATTCTCGTTTTTACTGTTCGCAGACCAGGGCATCTGTGCGACCCCGGGACTCGGACCCTAGGACCCCAGGCCCTTGAAGCGCACGTCGAGCCTGTGCATCGTCATGATGAACTTGGTGTAGAGCGGCATGAACAGCAGAGACCGGATCATGGCGTCGTTGAGGTTCAGCGAAGTCAGCCTTTCCCACTGCGCTCTCCGAACACGGCTTCCCCCCCCCAAGACATAAGAAGCACCGGACCCACCTCAGTCCCAGGGTGGCATAGCTTGCGAGGAAGAGCCAGAGAGGGTTCTGTGGCCGCCGCTCTTCATCGAGCATGACCTGACAAACAAGCAGAAAAGAGCCAGAGCATGGCACAACCTTTGACCCGGATGGGATGTCGAAATCAAACGAAACTCCGGGACAGGCTGTGAGAACCGACCTCTGCTGAACGAGACCACCCACACTCACATTACAGTCTACGACTCGGTTCCATTCCACGTCGTACGGCTGCTCCTTCCCTCTCAACTATGCTGCGTATTCCACATCGTACTGTCGTACTGTTGCTCCGTCGCCCTCCGCTATGATCTAAATGGTACAGGCTGAACTCTAGATCATGTCATCGTTTCGATTATGGATAATACAAACTCTTGCAGAGTTTACATGAGTATGCTATTCTGTACCAGACCCTGCG